AAAGGCCAAAAAAGTGATAGGCCCGCTAAATCAAAAAAAAAAAAAAAAAAGAGGATGTTTTCATGTACTTCTTATGTAATAAAAACTAATTTTAAAAGTGAAAAAAATTGTTTTAATTGAGAACAAGGAAGGAAGAGAGAGAACTGAAGTCAAGGAGACCAGTGAAGAAGCTATTGGTGAAGGGGTGGTGTGGCCGGAGTCTGGGGGTCCCCATCTGTAAAATGGGTGCACTGAATCCTATGGTCACTGGAGCTGTTGAGAGGACCCTAGCACTATTGGAGGTGCACTCTGAAGTCTGTGGGGTTTGTTCCCCAGATACTTGGCTGGAAGACAGGGCTCCCCCAAGTACCCTGTTCGGGCTGGCCTGTGGAGCTGCCCTCCCAGGCGTGCCTGATGCTCACAGGTCTCAACACACCAGGAGGCCAACTGGGCCATAGAGAAAGATCTGGCAACAGGGCTACCTCCCCAACCAGACCCCAGCCCTTAACAGGGCCCACTACTTCAGCCCAGCAGCCCAGTGGGGGATGTCCATGCAAATCAGCTGTATGAGCTATAGCTCAGTTCAGACCAGAGCTCCAGAAACAGGCCCCAAAGACACCCTCATTCTCTACTGCTCCAAGGCAGTATTGGGACAGCTGGACTCAGCCTCTAACTGCTCAGGCCCTCACCGGAAATATGATGCCCAGTAGCTCCATGGCCTTCGCCCTCTCTGGGAAAGGGCAGAAGTAGGGCAGCCTGGGTCAGGAACTCCCCACTCCCCGCCCTGGGCAAAGAGCTCCAAGCCTGGTTGGAGGAACAAGGCCAAACAAGGGCTTAAATGCAGGTCCTTGACTCCTGTGGCTGTAAGCACAGCCTCATGAGGTGGACAGGGCCACCATCTGCTCCCTTAATTGGCACCCACTTCCCCACTAGCGCCAAGGGGCCATGAAGGAGGCGTGGTCACAGCATGGACAGCTTCTCACACAGCTCCTCCTGCCCAGGGGTGGGGTGGGCATCCTCAAGGAGTCTGTACCCGGGAGGCAGTGCTCCTGGGCCTCGCTACCAGCCAGGCCCGGATGAGGCAGAAGCCTCTGGCTGGGAGAGGCAGGGTGCAGAGACACCTCATGCTTGCTGCATCTAGCTACCAGGGCTCTGTGGGCACACACGCATTCATGTCTGGGAGGGTCATGGGAGGGTGTCTCTGCATGTGCGATGGCAACGCTGCGTGGTAGCTCAAACACAGGCTCTGCCGTCCCTCTGCCCGGGCTGGAATCCCTGTACCACCATTGCTGGTGTACCTCGGGCAGACAAAAGCCCCTCTGAGCCTCAGTTTCCTCATCTGCCAAAGCAGCATGATCCCAACAACTCTGACCCCACGGAGTCTTTGTGAGTGCCTGGGTCACGGTCAGCCCTTGGTCTACTCCAAGCCAACGCATAGGGTGTGGCCAGCTGAGTTCCTACCTGCCTCAGTGTCCCCAGAGGAGGCTGAAGAGCCAGTGCTAATTGCTCCTCTGCCGCTGATATTCTAAGAAGGGAGGCGAGGTGCTGAGCAGGCTCAGGAGGGGAAAGCCTAAAGGCTCAACGAGGGTTTGTGGGGTGTAGGGCCCAGGTGGACTTCTGGTCAGTGCCCCAGCCTCTGCTGGACCTGACTAGCAGCCATTCAGCATTTGGCAACTGTGTCCAGGGCCTGCCTTGCCATTGTCTCCCACCATCCCGCTCACCAGCCCTTTGGAAGAAACACACGGGAGGGTCCTGCCCTCTAGTGGCCGCCGGCGGTCAGGCCTCTCCTTTTGGATCCCAGGCCTCAGAGGAACCCACTGCCCACTCTACCTTTTCCAGTGCCGGCTTCACAGTAACAAGTCTGTTTTACTGGCTAAAACTGAGGCTGGTCCTAGGAACCGGCTCAGCTATCTTAATCTCTGAGCACCTTTGAGCCCTGAGGGCCCTGCTTCCGGGCTCTTGGTGGTCCTAGGGTCACAGGGTCTGTGTCCACTAAGAGGGAGGCCTGACTGTGCCCAGGATGAGGGTACTCACGGACCATGGTCAACACAAGCAATACAGGAAGCAGGGAGAGCCTTAGCTCTGGAATGGGGCACATGCTTCTGCCCAGGTTCCCCACACGCCCGCACCCCTGCTTCCCCCATTGCAGCCTATCATCAGGCTATGACCAGTGCCTATGGATGGGGGGAGCACCACAGGAGTTGAGAACTTAGCCTAGGGCTTGACACAAAAGCTGCTTTGCTTCTGGACACCCCCGTCTGTGCCCCAAGTGAAAGGAGGCGGGGACCTGGGGAAGGAGGGAAAACTAAGGGGAAGTCACGCCTCTCTAGGGAGGGCCTCTACATCCTCTGTCCCTCAAGGGAGGCACAAGTGTGAACCCATCAGATAAACAAGTCTTTCCTTGCCTTTACTGAACCATGAGCTGAGCCTGGGACCGGGTCATTCCCCCAGGCCCTCCATGTCTCTCCTGCCAGCCCTGGAGGCCTCTTCCCTTCATTCCTGGAGTCTGAAATGCAAAGAGTTGTGGCTCTGTGCCAGGTGCTGAGGATTCACATGAACAAAGTGGGCCTGCCTGGCCCTGGGGCAGCTGGCACCTAGGGTAGGAGGTGGCCAGTGACAGCACAGGCCTCTGCAGAGAAGCACTCAGTGCACACGGTGCCCAGTCAGTCCCACCCAGGCCCCACAGAGACCCCGTGGCTCTGGGCAAGGGCCCGTCCCAAGAAGCCTCTATGTTCTGACAAGGACATACGAGCTCCAGGCACACACACCCCCACGAATCCCCACTCACGCACACACTTCCTGCTCCCAATTAGCACTAATTAGACAGCAGGAGAACCCACAGACCGTGTAGCAAAAGCAGTCAGGTCTGTGGGGTCCCAGGGAGGCAGTCCCCATCAGGCATCAGGTGAGAAGGGCCTTGGAGGAAGGGCCCTGGGGTCCCTGCTTCTCTGAAGGGGGATCAAGTGACAGGGCCACATCTGCCAGGGACCTCAGTGGTCCCTCTGGAAGATGGGAGCTGCCCCAGGGCTGGGGCAGACTGGAGGATGGGGAGCCTGACAAACACCTCCTTTGAGGCCTTCCCCCAAGCTCCTCATCCCAACCTGGCCTCTCCAGTTCCTCTGCTCCCAGTCCTCACTCCATACGTCATCCACTCATTCATTCATTTATTCACTCATTCATTCATGCATTAAGTGTCCATGGACCTCCTAGGACCAGGCCCTGGGACCACAGAGATAGACATGAAGCGGATCAGCAGGGCCGTGCAGGTGGGTATGAGGGCAGGCAAAGCTCCTAGTGCTTAACTCCCCCACTTGAGCAGCCCCTTCCTCTACCACTCACCCCCACCCAGGCCTGGGCCCAGCTTGGCATAGATTACAGGGGGCAACCATCAGATGGCATCTTCCCATTCCTTATGGAGAGAAGGAGGCCAGGCTGGCAGTGCGGTGTGCTTGTGAGTGGAAGGATCAGCCCCACACCCTCCTTCGTGTGGCTCTGGTTGGCACTCTCTGGGTGAGGCTGTTGTTCCCTTGGTCATTCAGACTGGACTCAGAGGATAGGCCAGCAAGGCCAGCTGTGCACATGCCCGTGACCAAGCCTGCGGGCACAGCACCGCTAGGAAGTCATAGGATTTGGGGGGTAAGAGGAAAAGGGGGGTCCAAGTCCCAGTTGCTCTAAGGTGGGGCTGGAACACGCATGGCTGAACAACCTGGGCCCCAGACCCCAGGGTGAGGGCCCTGAGCCAGCCAGCCCCCTTTACACCACACCACACGGCTCAGGCCCTCAGCCGCAAGCTGGGGTGGTGGGAAGAAAGCAGGTGTGTCCAGCCTGGCCCCTGTTCCCCAGAACATCCCCATCAGGGAAACAGAGGCTGGGCTCTGCTCCCCTCCCTTTCCTACCTGGGAGACCAACAGCCCTGGGCAATTTGGTGTTGCCATGACAACCACACACTTTCTTCTTCCCTACTTAGCAGATTGAATTTGAGCTGCCAATTAAATCGTGGTGAGTTGTCTGTTTAGAAGGCATGTGGCTGCTTGGAGACATCTATGCATCTTCCGTTTCCCAAGTATCTCTGATGCCCACTCCTTGCTTCCTGGTGGCTGAGGCCAGCGAGACATGTCCTGTACCAGCTCCTGTGTCCCAGGGGCAGTCCTGGCCCAGTGGCAGCATCCCCTGCCGGTCTGGCCTCCGTCTGACAACACTCTGGTGTGCAGCTTCAGGGGCGGGTGGATGGTGGTCATCAGAGGCCCCAGACCATGCACAGTCCTCTTCCGTGTGAGGCACAGGGCTTTCCAGCAAGAGCTCTGGACTCAGAAGGCTCTTTGTCCCCTTCAGGGGTGTGCGCTGCCTTTAGGGGCTCGGCGGCCTTGGCTGGGAATTGCCTGTGTGTGAACAACTGGATGACCAGGCCCCCTGGGGCCCTCGGAACCACGCTTTCCCAGGAGCTCACCTTAGCTGACTGTGACCAGCAAAGGAAAGGAGCCGCCTCCAGTGCAGAGCATGGTGGCTGGGGTCAGAGTGAAGGAGACCTGGGGTGGCCTGTAATAAGGGGGTTGCCAGTGGCCCTGGAAGGCACGTGTCAGCCTGGCAGTTGCGTGAGGGCTGGCTCAGCCTGTTCAATGGGAGGTAGCCATGGGCAGTCAGAGAAACGTGTGGACCTGGCTGTCAGGCAGACTTGTGGCTCAGCCTGTTCTCAAATCTGCCTGGGACAGGGATGGACGTGGATGCGGGGGAACTTACCAGGAAGGGTCACTCAAGATGAGCAGGGAGACCCGCCTCTGCCCTCTGCAGTCAGGGCTGAGGCCTCTGCCCCACGTTCAATCCTTTTTTTTCTTTTTTTCCTGCACTGCTCAGGTTGTGTGATCTTAGTTCCCTGACCACGGATTGAACCAGGGCCAATGGAAGTGAAAGTGCCATGAGCGTCCTAACCACTGGACTGCCAGGGAATTCCCACACGTGCAATCTTGCTGCAGGTTAAACCCACCACGTGGTCCTGTTTACATGGTCGCCACCCCACAGGGCTGCAGCATCCTCCAGTGAGGGGGTGGTGGCTCTTGACCGTAACTCTATCTCCTGGGCTAGGTCCACATCTCTGCCCCCATTTACTACTGCTGTGATGTTGGGCAAAGTTCCTTAACTTCTCTGAGCCTTTTCCCTCTGGGGAAGGGAGGGGCCCACAGATGGGACCGTGAGAGTGGAGGAGGGGGGGTGAGGGGCTCCCTGAGCAAAGTCTCCAGGGAAAACACAGACTCCGTGATACTTGCTGAGGTTAGTCATGTTGCCAAGAGCTTTATAGTGTTTGCTCAGAGTTTTATAATTTTGTAGGGGACAGCATAAAGTATTTTTTAAAAAGCAAATGAAATAACGAGACCATTAATAGCTTGAGGATTGTAGTAGAAAGGAAATAGGATACTACTTGGTTTAGCAGAGAACAATGTTTCTATAGTTTTAACCGTGTGAACATGAATATCAATTTACCCCAAATCATAACACTGGGAGGATGGAAAGGTAAGTGTGCAGGGAGGTGGCCATCAGAGCTCATTTTTCCATACGAGGAGGTCAATATTCTAAAGCAGAAACAATCAAGAAATAGCATTATAAGCAAATTACTTAGAAATATGAAGGGAAACAGAAGAAGGAATGATGAAAAGAACTAAAACAATGGGCCAAGGAGAAGGAAGCTTGGAGGGGGGCAGAACCTGCCCTTTGGGGGTTATCTTTTAAAACTATGTACATGTGTTTTTTTGATCAAAAGAAAAACTGAAAATAAAAATAGGTAGAGTTTAGATAGAAAGCAGGCTGAGGCTGGAGAGGTAGAGTAACTCGTCCAGGGTGGCAGAGTTGGGAGACAGCCTAGCAGGGATCCACATGCAGCTCTGAGAGCTTGGAGTGACCTTGTCAAGACCATGGACTCCACCTATGGGCCGGGGGCTCACCAAGCACCCAGGAAGGCTGCACAAATAAGGCCTCGAGCCTAACCGGCTGCACCCTATGCCTCTGGGCAGGGAAATAAGGCCCAAAGCCACTTCCCTGAGGAGATCACGTCACCCCGTGGGAGGAGCAGGAGCAGAGGGTGGTTTCAATTCCTTTCTGTTTACTGGTAACTTTAGTTCCCAAGTTCCCCATCCAGCCAGGCTGATTAGTTAGATTCTCCAGGGGGAGGCCTGGGGTATCAATGACTTGCCTGACACCTTGGGAAGCAGTTCCCTGTGCCAGACACACTCCACCTGCAGCCAAGGAGGCAGTGGAGCCTGGAGGGTCGGGTCCTCGTTGCTGGCTTGTGCTCACCAGAGGCACCAAAGTCCACTGCTCCTCCAGGAGTTTCCCGGCTTCTGCAGTGGGAAAGACAGTCGGCTGAATGACCCAGTGACAGGCTGCCATGATCTCACAGTTACCGCTGAGCATGGCTTGGGTGCCTGGCATTGCGCAAAGCCTCTTTCATGTGAAAGGAGGGGTATGGCCCACTGGCTAGCAGGTCCTGGGACTGGGCTCCAGGCTGGCTGGTCATTAACACAGTGTGACCTGGAGAGGCTTCCTTCCATCCCGGGGCTTCCTCTAGGGTGAAGCTGGGGCCGAGAGGCAGGGCCCTGCTCTGATACAGCAAGAGTGGTCTCAGGCTCCATCAGTGGGCAAAATGCAGAACAGGTCTCTGTGTCAAGATATTCTCTACCACATGGTTTACAATGTAGGGAAAACTGGGGACAACTTAACTGGTACACTGTATAGTAAAAAAGAACAATGTAGAGGGCAGTGTGTACATGGCAAGATGTGTGCACCACATGCAAAGTAAAAAGAGGCCATGGACAGGATGGGGCGTTTCTAACTGTCTACCGGACACTGGCTGCCCAGGATACTTTATAATTTACAACTTATAAGTTAATATAAGAAATACCTAAAATACATAATGCTGTCAGAGATAAGATCGTTTGCTACCAGGAAGAACAATACCCGGAGATATTTTAGACTCTGTGATGATTTCTGCTCTGGTCTAGCTCCCCTGTCTGAACGCAGGCCCAGGCTCCAGCCTCGGAGCACACAGGCCCACCTGCTTTCCCACTCTCCACTCAGCCCCAAATAGTGCTGCATGGTGACTTTTTCTTGGCCCCCACCATGGTCCTAGAGCAACAGTTGAGTAGGGATTAGAACCTTTTGTAGATGGAGAAGAGGATCTTATGAACAGACAGCGGCAGGCCTGGAATTAGAGCGTGATTTTCAGGCTCCCTGGCTCTGTTGATTATCTGTATCAACAGCTGGTCCCTGGAGCCAAAACATCATCTCCCAGCTGCGAAGACAACCAGAAAGCTTGCAGAGTTGGGGGAGAGGCCCACAGAAGCTGATGGGAGTGGGGAGGCCTGGAGCACCGGGCTCTGTGGCACACCCAGGTCACAGGCTTTTGAAGAGAGCAGGAGGAGGAGGAGGAGCAAGAGGCAGGCCTGACGGACCCCCACCACGCAGACCCCAAAGGCCAACAGCCTTACTCCTCCCCCAAGGAGCGGTGCCAGACCCAGACGTGCCTGGTGTCTCCCTGCTCTCCTTGAGTCCTAACTGTGGGCAGAACACGCTTCCCTTCTTAGGAAAATCCCACCTTAATAGTAGCACTCAAGACAGAGCCCTCTGGGCACCCTAAGTTCTGGCCTTTCTCTTCCTCCCAGCTGCTTCTGGAAGGGGAAAGCTGGTTGGTCTGAACCTGGCATCCTTTATCCCAGTCCAGAGAAGGAAAAACAACAAACAAAATAGAAGTTTATAGAGGTTAAGTCTGAGAGGCTGATGGCAGAGGCAATGGTTGTTTTTGTTGTGTTTTTTAGGGTGAGGAGGAAGAACTCAACAAGTTTCAGAAGAGCTTTGATGAGTGGGTTCAAGGTGAGGACACTGGCAAACTGGAGATCGAGGCTGGCGGCGGGGGGAGTTTCGGCAGTGTCCTCACAGCCACCATGGCCCAGGCCTAAAGCTGAGGTCAGGGGAGCCAGTGCCCATGGCTGCCCACCCACATGGCGGGACCAACGCAGACCCTTCCATTTTCTTCAGAAGCTGCCGACAGCAGCTGGCCCTCCTTGGACAAAGCCACATTCTCTTCTGTCACCTTTTTTCTTTCTGCTTTAATCTAAGGCTACAGGGAAATTTAAACTACCAGTTGAGGTAATTTCTGAAATTGCTGAAAATCATTTAACAAGCTTTGGAAGCATCCCCTCTTGCTCTGGGGGGGCCACTCAGGCTGAGCCTGAAAGAGGTCATTTGCTGGCTCTCCCTGGAAGCTGTGGCTTTGCTTCCCCAGGCTTGCCTACCTGAGTTGGCCAAGAGTCAGAAGGCCTCCGGCAGTCTCCGTTACCCATGTCCTCACTTTCTAAGCTCCTCCGGGCAAGCTGGGCTGAGAAGGATCTTTCGTTTCCTCTTCACCTGCAGTGCTGCCTCCAAGAAAAGGGGAAAGAAATGTTGCCACTGAAGGGAAAAAGACTCAACCACATGCATGTTTGTGGACTGGGTTTAGGTGGGAAGGAGGGAGCAGGTAGGCGTGAAACAAATGTTCCCAGCGTCCACAGTTCCTCTCTGTTCAGCAGATTTATAATTCCACTCACAGAGCAAACAGGCTGGTGCAGGGCACCCCCTGCTCAGTGCCCCTCCATCCTCTCATGGAATCCTTGCCACATCCTATGAGGCAATTGCTCTAATGCCCAGTTTTAGATGCATAAACTGAGGCTCAAAGAGATTAACTACCTTGCTCAAGGTTGAAGTGGGGATGGGTCTGCCTCCAAGACCCTCTCTGGAACCCACACACAACCTGCCTCCCTAATTCTCAAGGGAGAAGGAAAATAGGGCTGTTGGAAGAAAGGGAAAGGAGTGTGATGGGGTCAAGAGCATGAGCAACTGAACCTGACAGGGGCGAGGGCCCAGGGGGTGGAGAGGTGAGAGGTTGGAGGCTGGATAGCAGGTGGTGCTGGGGTTTAGTGCCTTCTGGGGGTGACAGGGCTAAAGAAAAGTGGTTAAATCTCCAGTATTTGTAGTGTCCTCACTTCTCGCTCCTTTGCTGGTCCAGCTGTAAACAGGCCTTGAGTGGGTTAATAGGAGCGAGGGTGGGGAGAACAGAGCTTGGGCTGGGGAGGGGGTGGGGTGGACAGCATCAGGAGAGGACTGGCCGAGGGTGAGGAGCAGAAGAAAAAGCGGGCAGGGAGGTGCATACACAGGACATGTAGGGAGTCTTGCTATGGGTTGTTTTCTCCAAGGCTTTCAGAGCTGTATTTGCCTGTCCTACCTCTGTTCTCCTTCCATCCTCCCTGGGCTGTGCAAGGTGGGCTACTGACAGATGAGGAAACTGAGGCACAGAGAGGCAAGACCTCCTGCCTATGATTACAAAGTGATGGAGTGGCCAAAGTTAGCTGCCTTCCCACTCCTTGGTGGTGTCACCTGGGGTCAAGGCCACCAACAGACAGGGGACCATGGGGTACATACAACTTTTTCTTTGTAACGCAACATAATTTTTGGCCAGATTTGTTTCTCCCAAATACTTTTTTTTTTTTTCGGTAAGCGGGCCTCTCACTGTTGTGGCCTCTCCCATCGCGGAGCACAGGCTCCGGACGCGCAGGCTCAGCGGCCATGGTTCATGGGCCCAGCCGCTCCGCGGCACGTGGGATCCTCCCGGACCGGGGCACGAACCCGAGTCCCCTGCATCGGCAGGCGGACTCTCAACCACTGCGCCACCAGGGAAGCCCTCCCAAATACTTCTCATGCATGCTAATGCCTATGCAAAACAATTACCTTAAATTCTTTAAGATGAGATAAAGACTGAGGTGGGAGAGGAATTGTGGGAGAAAAAGTCATGGAAGGTCAGCAAGGAGGTTTAAAACATTCAAAATCGTGGATTTCAAACTTGCTGGGTTTTTTTGTTTTTGTTTTTAACAAAAAGAACCTTTTTTTCAAGCAAATTCTTAGACTAACCCCTAATTTTCAAAACAGATAAAAAGGGTGCTGCTCCCGTTGGAGTTGCAGCTGGTTGGCCCGTCCATCTCCTCAGGCTCAATGTTATCCCTACAGCTCAGATCCAGCCCTTGTTAACCCGAGGGAGGAACGGAGCCCAAAGGTAGATGGTACCTGGCATGTGCTCAGTGCGCCAGAGTTGGTAGAGTGAGGGAGGCTTGTTCAAGGTCACCCATTGAGTTAGAAAAGGGCAGCCAGGCTGGAGTATAACCATGTATGTGACACCATGGGCTGCTTAGAAAGCAAAACTCTGTTCGTGTACTTCAGAAGGCAGACATGGACACAAGCGGACTTCCCTGGTGGTGGTGCACATGGAAGGAACGCCGTGGGCAGGACACCTCTGGGTTCTTCCCCCCAGAGCCTGGCTCTCAGCCATGTGTTTGTAGGGTTGCTGCAGGGACAGTTGAAAAGAGCCGAGGATGAGTGGCCAGTGTGCTTGGGCATCTTGCCATCAGCCCCGCATGATGTCACTCCCACTTACTAAAGAAAAAAGAAAAAAAATGCAAGTAGCTCTATCACTTCTATTGCCCCCCAGAGCTGGACATCTGCACACCTGCAAGAACATCCTCTTGTCATTGGAGAGATGCCACTTAGGGATTTCACAAGCCACATGAGGAAGAAAGGAATCTTCAGCTCTAGCTCAAGAACATAAAAATGCGCCGTGCTAATCTGGTTTGTTCATAAAACTGTTGTGTTAATGCCCTGGGGGAAACAAAAAAGGAAAGCTATTTTAGCAACATTCCCTAGTTTGGTTGGGATTATGTGTGGGGGAAAACATTCCCGTTTCCCTCTCGGCTAAGGGTTTTGGTTCTCCTGGGTCCTCATGGTTCTCCCTGCCTGGCCGTGCCAGTCCCTGATGAGGGCTGGACGAGAGTGTGCCCTGAGCCCAGGGGAAGCTGGGGCTAGTCAACGCTGGGGTTCACAACACACACCTCCCGAAAGGACTGAGCCTCCTGTGTGACCCAGAGTTGTCTCATAACTCTCCTTCTGAAAGATGCCCTCTGGTCCCCCTGGTGCCACGCTCCCTGGTGTCAATTTTTGCGATTTTCAAAAAGCAGTGCAGAGAAGTGAATGAAGAGCCACAGTGAGTCAGGCTTTCATTTCAGACTCCCCTTCTCTCCCGCCTGACACGGCTGCATGGAAGCCGCACACTATTAGTTCCACATAATTGAAAAGTGTGTCAGACATCTCTCAGAACCCGAAACATGCTGCTCATTGTCACCTCCAACGTGACTAATGCAGTCGTGTCTTAATTAGTCACTGTTTCCTGCGCTGACAGCATCAGAGCCCCGTTCCAAGGCCCCAGTTTGTGATGCGGATGAGATTAAAGGACTGAGAGTTGCCAGGTTTTCAGGTCCCCTTCCCACTGAGCACTCTGAACCCAGGTGGCCTCTGCCAAGTGCATTGGTCAGACCAGGGCAGCACTGTGACAGTAGAGCCAACAGGGACACATTTTTGGATGGAGGGAGGTAATGAGACAAGTAAATGGTGGACTAGAACATTCCCTCACAAGTCAGTTGTTACATCACAGGCCCTTGGGCAGCTCCTCTGAGGCTGAAGGGGCAACTCCGGATGAACTATGCCACCTGGCCCAGCCCCTGCCCAGTGAGAGCTGACTGAACTGGGCACTCATCTGCCCCAAGGGTGGCCCATCCACTGGCTCCCTTATGACCCATGGCCCACAGTAGCTAGCCTGGGCCAGTTCCATTTCTCCTCAGGGGCTTTGTGTACAGAACAGAGCTTAAACCCGAGAGGAGAGACTGCAGGCAAGAGAAAAAGGTGGTGAAAGAGACTGTCTCAGGACCTCCCTGGTGGCGCAGTAGTTAAGACTCCATGCTCCCAATGCAGGGGGCCCGGGTTCGATCCCTGGTCAGGGAACTAGATCCCACATACATGTTCCAACTAAGAGTTCACATGCCACAACTAAGGAGCCAGTAAGCCGCAACTAAGGAGCCTGTGAGCCGCAACTAAGACCCAGTGCAACCAAATAAATAAATAAATATTAAAAAAAGAAAGAAAAAGACTGTCTCATCATTGGAAGAACATGGACCTCTACCTGAGAGCAGCACCTATTTCTGGGAACTCCTCCTCTCATTGCCCACCAGCCTGACTGCCACCGTCTGGGCCCCAGGACAGGTGGGTATCACCCCAGTGTGAAGCCAGGAGGAGCACAGAAACCAGGAGCTGCCCCAGCACCCAGCACCTGCTAGCCTCATGGTGAGGTAGCCGTCCAGGCACCCCCTCTCCTCCTTCTAAAGCCCCCTGGGGCCCTTTGTTCATTCAGTCTCATAGGCACAGAATCCAGGGCCCTTCAACTCTTCAGGAACCTACAGAAATGACTGAGATGGAAAAAAATTTACTGGATCCAAACATAAAGCTTCAAAGCTGATGTTCAAATGTCTATAGCACATATCACCAGGAGAGTTAGCCAACCACAACTCCTGCATACTTACATACCTGTTATGCTCAGTGTGGGACAGGGTGTACTGTAAAAGCTTTGACAAGCTGTGGGGAGGGGTTTCCATGAGCGTGCTGCAGCCTTGACAGGGTTCTGGGTGCACCTACTCTGGTGAGGACCCCGTTCGTGAAGGGAAAGACCTAACTCCCTACAGCTCACCTCTAGCACTTGCCCTCTAAGCCATACTACCCCAGAAGGATGGAGAAGCTGACAGGCCAAGAGTTGACTGCACTTTGGGACAGGGGCACCTAGCAACTTCGGCTAATTAATCTGGAGGATAATTAAGAAGTATTTATAAGACTTCCTTCATTAGGCCCCTAAAGGAGGCTGAACTACATTAGGAGCCCATTTTCCCTATTTCACTCTGATACACCCAGATGGTTCTGGTTAAGAAGGAATGACACTAAGTAGGGGGACTAATTCTGCCACAGTAATTGGGGTTGGACTGATGATGCAAATCAATGAGTCTTCCTTTCCCCCCAAACTCTTCAAATAAAACACCTTTCTTGTTACCCTTGAAAGTTAATTAGGGACTTCCCCAGTGGCCCAGTGGTTAAGACTCTGTGCTTCCACTGCAGGGGGCGTGGGTTTCATCCCTGGTTGGGGAACTATGATCCCACATGCCGTACAGCATGGCCAAAAATAAATAAATAAAATAAAGTAAAATAAAATAGAATTTTTTAAAAAAAGAAATTTGGGCTTCCCTGGTGGTACACTGGTTAAGAATCAGCCTGCCAATGCAGGGGACACGGGTTCGAGCCCTGGCCTGGGAAGATCCCACATGCCGCGGAGCAACTAAGCCCATGCGCCACAACTACTGAGCCCACGCTCTAGAGCCGTGAGCCACAACTACTGAGCCTGCGCACCACAAATACTGAAGCCCTCGCACCTAGAGCGCGTGCTGCACAACAAGAGAAGACACCGCAATGAGAATCCCATGCATCGCAATGAAGAGTAGCCCCCGCTCACCTCAACTAGAGAAATCCTGCATGCAACAACGAAGACCCAACGCAGCCAAAAATAAATAAAAATTAAAAACCCTGTTTAAAAAAAAAAGAAATTAACAAATATCAATAAAATATTTACAACATTAAGGACATTCACTCAGGTAAATAGCAGTAAAACAAATCACTTTCCACCTGTATGTGATTGGCTCAGAAGTCTCATTTCCAAATAAAATACACGAGTCAAGCAACCGAATGAGGAAGATATAAAGGTGAAGGGGTACCCTGGACTCCCTAAAAACCACAGGCCTAAAATCACACACTTGTCCACCCTGCCCTGATATTAGTTCTGACCTGCCAAAAATGGCTGCATATTTAAAAAACATGACCAAGACAAGGACAGGCCAGACAGAGAAGATAGGAAAGAGAAAAGTGCTATCAACAATGGGGAGCACTACTTTGGGCAGAAGGGAAAGGCAGTGAATAAACTGCCAGGCCTGTCAGTCTGGGACACAGAAAGCTCCATCGCAGGGGCCAGGAATCCAGCCCCTCTTTCAAAGTCAGAATCATGGTCCAGTAAGGTCAACGTAGGGAGAACCGTTCTGATGAGGAATAAAAACGATTCACATACTCAAGGTACTTGCCCACTTTCCTTTTGAAATTTAAGAGTTTTTGTTTCTTTTTTGCAAGGAGAAGTAGTATGAAACATCTTCACAGAGATGTGAAGAAAATAATTTATTCATTTTAAAATGGGGAAATTGACATGAAACTAGCAATATGAATACATGGTTTTAAAAACAGACAGGAGGGAGGAGATGCCCTGGTGAATTAGGTGGTAAGTGGCAGGGAGTGGGGCAGAGTATACAGCATCTCCTGAGCCAGAAGTCACAGCTGAGGAAGAGTTAAGTAGCACAGCAGCATCCCCTCACGGAGGGACCTGACAGGCCAAACCTGAAGACACCAACACACACGTGGCCAGAGCAGCACAGAAAGAAGAAATGCTGTTATCCTCACCAACAAAAGCTTCTTCGTTTCATAAATGGATGTGCTTTAGAGACTTGTTTCCATGGGAAAAGTAGCCTCACTATATTTTGAGTGGCACTTAAAGCCTCAAGTGTGATTCCCCCCAAAAACCCTTCTTGGGTAACGTGGGGCAGCTCAGCACCCATGTATGCAAGCACCCTGAGGCACAGGTGTGGCTCTAGGGAGATGGGGGAAAGCCCCAGAGCGAGTGGTTGGGCCCAGCTGTGCTCCAGAAAGCAACAGGGACAGAGCCAGAAGCCATGGGCTGCAAAGGGCCTGCTGCCCAAGTGCTGGAGCCCGGGAAGCAGGTGTTAGTAATGGGACAACACCCGCTTCCCCAAACCCTGGGCCATGGGGACTCCTCTTTCTATAAACAGGGAAGCAGGCCACAGGAAGCAGCCCCCGGTGGCTGTCCCAGCTGGCCATCTCTCAAAAGGCGCTGGCCCTGACTGCGGCAGCCCTGTGCTGATAGCAGAGCCCGGCTGCATGGCGACGAGATGAGCGTGAGCCCTTGCTGTCAGACACAGAGACTTTCCAAGCTGGAGAACAGAGTGGGAGCTGTGGTGTTCCTGCTCCCGAGGAGGTGGGGCGTCAGCATTGCTGCTCAGACAACGGCAGCTGTCTTCCTGGAGCTGGGAATGGACACTGTGAACACGAGCATGACTGGCCCTAGGCACTGCCGCTGGTGAGGATAATGGGGTGTGCCAACCTGTTTGCCGAAAAAGCTGGTCCCAAAGTCCTGCCCCAGAGACGCAGAGGCAAAAGGTCTGGAATGGATCCTGGAAACCTACATTTCTAACTTGCAATCCAGGTGATTCTGAGGCAGGTAGTGCGAGGACCACACTTTGAGTCTGGGGTCAAGTGGGCAGGGGTTGGGTGACAGGGTTCTAGGGGAGAGAGGGGTGGTCAACGGCAGCAGAGAAGGAACTTGTGAGGGCTGGAGGCCCATTTCTGTGCATTCAAAAGACAAAAAAAGCACTTGGGGGGCCTTTCCTGGTGGCGCAGTGGTTAAGAATCCGCCTGCCAATGCAGGGGACATGGGTTCGAGCCCTGGTCCGGGAAGATCACACATGCCGCGGAGCAACTAAGCCCGTGTACCACAACTACGGAGCATGCACTCTAGAGCCTGTGTGCCACAACGACTAAGCCCACGTGCCACAGCTACTGAAGCCCGTGTGCCTAGAGACCGTGCTCCGCAACAAGAGAAGCCACCACAATGAGAAGCCTGCACACCGCAACAAAGAGTAGCTCCCGTTTGCCACAACTAGAGAAAGCCTATGCGCAGCAACAAAGACCCAACTCAGCCAAAAATAAATAAATAAATTTATTAAAAAAAAAAAAAGTACTTGGGGTTGGGGGGCTGCCTTCTGTGTGTGCCACCCACCCTACCCCACGGGGCAATCAGTTCTTCTGAGGTAGGCTGACCCTGCCTTACAAAACATGACCAAGCCCATGATTCTGGAGGGCCTCTGATTGTTCAGTGACACCTTGCATTTAGCTACTTTCCCTGCAATTAATACGAAGCATTCTCTCCTTGAATAGATAAAAAGGTGTCCAGGTGACTGGGTCCTAGTCTTGGTGCACTGGGTGGGTCTTTATCCTTGGCCTCTTGGCTTTGGCTCTAGGCCAGTGGATTTAAATGTGTGCATTTCAGCCAAACTGCCATCTGATACAAGCTATCCTGCTCTCTGGGTGTAAACATAGAAAGTTTGGGGACGTCGGGGCTAGATGATTACTAGCTATTACCACCCAAGATATAGTCTGTGCATGTAGCTCCAAAGGTCAATCACATCTAATTAATTAATACATTACATCAGTTAATATAGTAACACATTAATGAAAGAAGAAGAATGCTTTGCTGCCTGAGAACAGCACCTGCTGGGTGCAGGGCAGGGAGGCAAGCCTTAGCCTGGGCTCACACTGTAGCCTGAAGGACCAGATCCGCAGGCCTGCCAATCTTGTCCTGGGGCTGGAATTCCGGTGTACTGACCGGTGCTGGAAGTAACAGGTCAGCGGGAGAAGGGTGTGATTCAGTGACACATGCCACATAGAATTTACCCTATTTCATTCTGATGGAAAAAAAGACACCTCTATTCAACTTTAGTTGTCATCTGTGCAATCTCCTCATGAGAAGTTACAGCCAACTGCAAAGTGGTGTTCCCTTCAGAGTAGCTCACGAAGGATCAGTGTCCTTCAAAGCCCTCCTCTCTCAAGTGGCCAGGCCAGAGGTCGTGAGCCGGCTTGCCCCTGCTATGGGAAGACATGTGCTGGCCTGGGGGTGGGGGTGGGAGTGGGGGACAGCCATGAAGGGGAGAGACGTGACTCTGCCTGGCTAACTGTGGGAAATGTGATCTGAAAGACTGTGTCTTCATTTCTTAGATTTCTCGTTGAGCAATATTTCTCCTTCGCTAAACAACCAGGCCACAGTGTTGACGTGGGGAAAGCCACAATTCCAGGGCCAACTTGTTCTTGTTTGGTGCACAACATCACATAACATCAAGTCTCCTTCCGGCTTTTATGGAATATGTTAAATACTCCTGTGGAGGGTAAAGTGGCTACATCTCTCCTTCTGGGCCAGAAGATTATTAACTATTATCATCCAAGATAGAGTTTGTTGGAACATGTAGTTCTGAAGGTCAATCACCACCAAAAAGAATTAACACATTATTCAAAAAGAAAAATGCTGATTATAACAAAATGGTGAAAAAAATAATTGCATCTATTTTAAAAGCTTTTTGGTCTTCCCTTAAAAATGGAACTCCTCCTTGCTGTCTGAAATCTCAAATGGATACTAAGGGTTTGGTCTGGTGGTTCGCTCCGATGACTCACCTGTGTGTTGGTCTCACTCCACTACAGACCCCTAACTTGGCTCTTCTGCATAAAAAACATGTTCCACCATAAAACTGCCCCACAGCTGGTCCAGGTGCCACAGGGCTTCCGCGAGGTCACGTCGTTTTGTCAGTGAGTCTGGACACACCTAACTGAGTCCTAAGAAAGTGGATCAGCTTGGTCTCTGTGAGGAATGCTGTCCCAAGAGTCACTCCCAAACAGAGGGCCCCCACAGCGACGTGCACCAGCATGGCTGGCCAGCCCCGCTCACAGCAGAGGAACACCTGCAGAAAGAAACCACTGTCACTGCCCCAGGCCCCCAGCTGTACCTCCTTTCTCTGGGGCAAGCCACGGGGAGTGGAGGCCCTACTGCTCCAGCTTCCAGTCAGGTAAAGGCATGACAGCTATGTACTAGGGTCTACTCTGTTCCCACGGGTACCACTGATCAGTCATTTCTATCATAAGATGCTGTCCCAGAAGCTTAGGGGAAGGGGTAAGAGGAAGCAAGTACTTGTCCAGCTGGGTCAGGCAGAGCAGGAACGGGATGCCTGGAACGAGGGACAGTGGACGTGCTGCAAAATCATGTGGTGTGAAGGCTGCAGGGCGCCTCACCTCGGAAACAGCAGTAATGCCACCACTGAGGGCAAATGCCCCGAGGAGGACTGGTGACAGGAACAGGCCGGCCAGGGGCTTGTGGGGACTCTTCCGGTAGTAGCGGTGGATGAAGCAAAGGCTCTGTGTGATCCGAATGCCCATGTTGAAGCAATTGGCCAAGATGAAGCCCACGCTGCCACACCAATGGGTCAGGAGATAGGATAACAGCAGGAACGAAGATGAGAGGCCCAGCATTGTGAAATTGTACCTGGGAAGAGGGAGGCAAGCAATGCAGGGCAGTGGGTACCTGGTCCCAAGGCAGGGCTGCTGCAAAGAAAGTGGCTGTGAACATGAATTCACAGAAAGCACCTTCAAGTTCCCGTGATCCAGCTGATTTTCACAACATCGAATGCTAAGTGGACAACATGGAAATGTCACTGTCCCTTTCACCCCTGAATAGAAGAGTAAGAAAAGGAACAACTCAACATATTTATGGTGTTTAAGGATAGTAACTGGTTAGTTTAAGTGACACTGTGATCAAAACACATAAAAATCCTTTTCAGCCTGTCTTTAATGTGAGACACAACAATATGACACGGGTAACAATTACATGTGAACAGGCACTCTGACAGGTACTGTGAGGGGTGCTGGGGATGCACTGGTGGATGAACACACGGCCCTTTCCCTGTGGAGCTTGGATCCGTTTTATGGACGAGGAAACCAGGCAGAGGGAGGCTAAATAATCTGCCTAAGGAATGAGCCTACACCCCAACCTGACCCCTCGCCCCTAAACTTTAGCACCTCATACCACTTCCCTTGCAAAACGCAGAAGCCCCATAACCTTGGCCAGTGGATCTCACTCAAAGCAAGTGACCAGCTTCCATAATGAAATGGAAACAGGGAGCAAGGCCTGGACCACCTTCAGGGTTTCCCAGACTCTTACACATCCCTGCTCTGCTCTCTACATCTCCAGAGCTCTGTGGGTTCTGTGACTTGAGGGATTATACTGCTCCTTTCACTTCTATGATTCCAGAGCAGCACGTCACTTAGTTATCTCCAGTTTTCAGTTCTCAACTGAGTCTCAGCAGAGATAAAATAGCTGCCACAGTCTTCCAAAAGGCTTGTGGTACATCCATGAACAAAATTCTCCAGCATCTCATTTCTGCCTAGCACACAGCCGGCATTCTAAGTGTGTAGTTGTTGAGGGAACCAAACTCCTTAGATCCCCAAGCTGTGTCAGCTGGGTTAGGAAACCTCAGAGGCCACCACTTGGGTTCTGTACAGAAGGGAGGGGTGGTAAGAAAGCCACTGTGGCCTCCAAATGCCCAGATTCTGGTCCTTGGGCTGATCAAGCCCAAGGTGCTATGGGAGATATAATTCATCAGAGAGGATAGCAAGAACACACATGTGTGTGTGCGTGCGCGCACACACACACACACACACACACACACACACTGTACTCCAACAGGGGAGGTATGCTTTCATCCAGAATTCCAGAGAGGGAATTCATTTGCTTCTCAGTTGAGAGAGTTTCTTTTAATGAGTAATGGAACTACAAGAGCCCACATCTTCAAAGGGGAAGTTTCTTCACTAACTGCTAATCGATGATCAGAATGGCCAACTTTATAACAGGCCACTGAGGCTGGGCCAGTACTCTGACCTCTTTTCCAAAAAGAAGCAGAGATGTGTAATCTGTTCAGTTTTTTTTCCAGAAACGATCTCAGAAAGGTTTATTAAGACCAATGCTTGGAGTTTAGGCCACAGGTTCACAAACTTTCAAAGTCATCCTCACCCAGCTCCAAGTAGAATGGAAACAATGAATGAAACTGGTAGGCAATTCATGCTAATTCAAGCAGGGACAAGTTCCATGGTGTGGCTTCTTTAACGTAGCCATTTGGGAGGTGCTGATGATGACGGAGTCCACTGTTTTTAACTAGAAGAGGGCTCTGAAACTATTGAACTTTCCAGAACTCATAAATCTATAGCCTTAAAGACATTATCCACTTCAGGAAAAAATGAGAATTTTAAAGATAAAATTAAAATGCCACTTTTTGAGTCAATGGAAAATTAGTCAGTGACAATGACTATTTTCTAAGGCTTGGTTAACACAGACAGGAAGTTATTTAATCAGGCTTATCAAAAGATAGATGACTACAGCAGCAACTGAAGCATTCCCCACTGGGTGCTGGTTGAAAACATCAAGGCACAGCTATACGTTGTAGCCTTGGCAACCATGCAAAGTATGGTGCCAGTCTTGTGTGCACTCGTCCTGCATTCAACAGTTATGGAGTCCCACTCCACATTGGGCACTCAAGGGCCAACAAGTCAGAAAAAGGAGCTGTCAGCCTTGGGCCTCTGCACCACTGTCCCCTCTGCCTGGAAGGTTCGGCCCCATCTTTGCATAGCAGACTCTTCTTGGTCATTCAGGCCTCAGCCTAAATGCCACCTCCTTGGAGGGGCCCCCCAATCTAAAAAGGCCCCAACTCTCACTACATAACCCTGTTTTAGTTCTCTGCAAAGCACAATATTTTCTTGCTTATTTACTTGTTTGCTACCTGCCTTCCCTACTGTCAGCTCCAGGAGAGCAGGGATCTCTTTCTTCTCTTTTGTTCATTGCTGAATTCCTGGAGCTTAAAGAAATGCCTGTTAGAGAGTAGATGCCCAAAAAGTATTTGTCAAATGGACAAAAGAAAATGAGATATCCTTAACAAAACACAACAAAATCCTTCAGTGGAGCATAATGTAAAAGCCATCAATTTTATGCTATACATATTATGAGGTTATTAACAAAAAAGCCACGTGCAGTTCAATGGACATTCTAATATTTCACATCCAACTAAATCCCCTATTTTTATTTAGAAAAACACTGATTAACCTGTAGGTAGTTAACTAAAAGCCATGATTTCATCAGTATATATTTTTCAATTCAGAATCTGAAATGTAGGAGGTAAATCAATCATAACACTTAACTAAGCTGCTCAATTCTACTATAAAAATTCTTACTATCGTTTTATGTCTGGCTAAATTCATAGAAAGGGAAAAATTGCTGGGGTCTGTGATGAGCCCAGGTGCTACCTGTGTTCAGACAGGATTGAGGGTTGGGGTCAGGGGCCCAGACAGAAAGGGGGCTGCTATGTTTAATACAAACCTGGAGACCATGCTTAAAGGCACACACATTTTACTCTTAGGGGAAGTGAGTTACTTCAGATGAGAACAAGGCCCTGTCTTTTCTCTATGTTGACTACTAATACCATGAAAATAATTTTCCAGATTTTAATATACTGTTCTGATCCCATTACTACAAATAACTTAAAAAGTTGCTTTCTTTGGGTCAATGCAATGTAAGAGAAACCAAAGCAACCGGCCACTGTCTATATTCCCTCATGATTTGTTGCAAGATATATATTTTTAATGTTTTAATCAGGCTTAGTGTTGATTCTCCCCCTCAACACTAATGCTGAAATTGTTATAACAAAATTCCCTTCAAAGAGATAGATTCTTAGTCCAGAACTCTTTCCACTACACCTCAGTGCCTCATTTAGTATGCTTTAAATTATATTTTTAAATTATTTCATGTTAGAAGCACCTTTCAAGTAAAAACACAGTGCTTTCAAAATTAAACTTAGAGAATATTTTATCCACTAAAAAAAAAAAAAAAGATGGACTCAAAGCAGTTTATAGCTATAAATTTAACTGTCTGAAGTAAAAACCATGTCTAGACCACCATTTGAAAACTATGGGTTGTGACCTAAAAGTAGGCTAGGAAATCAATTTAGTGGGTCATGACATGGCAGTTTAAAGAATGAAATAGAACAGAATTAAAAACCATCAGTGTGTCCTGTGCGTTAACTGGGGTACTTGTTGCTTCATGGAAGCTTCCTTTCAGTCACACCCAAATATGCACTGGGTCACAGTGTTCAATGCAGTTTTCACTCTGAAAGCTGGTCTGAGCCAGCGGTTCCTAAGGCCTTCGCTATCTATCATCAGCAACCTCCTGGAGCTGAGCAATAAAAGACTCCTTGGCCTAAGTTCCTAAAATTCCAGTTCAGCTGGTATGGGAGGGGGCCAGAACTTCTGAGCAATCTGGGCTGGGACCACTGCCCTAGACTCCAGTTCTCAACTACGGTGTAGCATACAAGGTCACCAAGCCGCTGTGAGACAGGCCCCAGTGGGAAGCAGACAGAGGCTGCTCTGAATGAGAGGAAGGGTTCGCCAACTCTCTGAGTACCTTTTTCCCATCCCACCCCCACACTGGGACTCTGAGGGATTTCAATGGCACTCAGGGCACTACAGAGGCAGCATGAAACCCCCGAGGGACCCAGACCTCAAGGGGCAAAGGGATAAAGAGGGCCACTCGCCCCATTACCTACACCCACCCCTTCTCTCTTCTTCTTCCTCTCTCTTCTTTGTCCATATCAGTTTTATCCTTCTCCTCAACTGCACTCTGCAGTGATGTCTTCAGATACCACCTTGCTAATTTTGGCATCTGGGACACAAGAGATCAATTATCCTAGGTGTGGGTCAGAGGCTCTTACCAGGAGTTCACATCAGAATCATTGAGGAGTTTTAAAAAAACATTCACATGCTCAGGGCCTGCCGATTCTGTAGGCGTGGTAGCAGAGAGAGTGGTGGGGGTAAGGTGGACAGGAATCTGCATTTCTAACAAGCTCCGTGGGGCACTGTGACTCATAACTAGTGTTAAAAACTACTGCTTGAAATTCCAGGGCAGAGGTCCTGACCTGGGGGTCAATGGATGGGAAAAAATGTGGCAAAACTTGTATATGCACTTGGGCCTTTCTCTGAGGAGAGGTGTCACAGATCCCCGAGATTCTGCAAGACCTACAAATCAGATTCTATAGATGTGCATCTTGTAGAAGCTCCTTGGTAACCTATCGGAGCACTGGGCAAGGAGGTAGGTGGAGGAGTGGATCTTGTCTGGTGCCTGCCTCCGCCAACCTGGACTAACAAAACCCTTCAGGGTCCTGACTTCTCCCTTCACAAAGGGAGGCAAGGAGCAGTGGCTGCCCCCAGCCCTACTGTGGGGAGGATTTACTGAATGGTGCCTGAGGAAGGCACCACACTCCTGGTTCTAGAAGAGCCTTCTGTAAATGCATGTTCAGAATGAAAAGAAAGAAGTTACTTCATTTTGGCTGAAGGCCATAATTAGAGGTTTATCTTTAAGGTTACCTACCTGTCAACCTCCTCTTTGCTCATGGCAGCAAATGTGAAACATTCGGTCACTCCATTGATGGCAAGCAGGAGGACGTAAAGACAATAGGCACGCAGCAGGACAGGACCTGTAAGGAAATCCACCGAGACTCCAGAGCCCAAACGGGAGGCCCACATGCACCCTCACTTTGGCAGGTTGGTCAGAGAACACCAGAGCTGGGTCATGAGCCCTGCTGATGTCATCAGTGGGCAGACGCATGCTTGAGCCTATGGTCTTAACTATCTGGAAGGACTCCCAGCATTCTACAGTACTAACTAAAATAAACAGCTAAAAACAAAAGGACAATTAGGAATAAATGTACAGATCTCTTGCCTAACAACTAAAAGCTTATCTGGCCAGCAAGCAAATCTCACTTTTTAAATCAGCATGAAGAAGCCTGCTAGTTTGAGCACTTGGGGACACTAGTGGCCCTGCATGCTGAGAGAAACTCAGTTGAGGAGGCCCTGAAGAAACCCAGGGCTCAGGAGCAGCAGGAAACTACAGAGATAGAACACCCATAACTCTTCAGGGAGAATCAGAGCCTGCAAGGTTATTTTCTCCTAAAACAAAGTGATGTGATTCTAGAGCTAACTAACAAGCTTTGGGAAGATCTGCTAACAAAAAATCGGGAGCCTTAAAACGAAATTGATCCCCTCTTTTTTTTTTTTTTCCCCCTGGCTAAGCTGCGCAGCTTGCAGGACATTAGTTCCCAACCAGGGACTGAAACTGGGCCCTCAGCAGTCAAAGTGCCAAGTCCTAACCACTGGACCAGGAGGGAATTCCCTGATCCCCTCCTTTAAGAGGGCTATTACTGACAGGCAGCCAAGCAGTTTCTAATAAAATAAACACGTACTTAACCTATGATCCAGCAATTCTACTCCTAGGTGTACAACCAACAGAAACAAATGCATGTGTTCACAAAAACATCCATAGCAGTTTTATTCCTAACAGCCCAAAGTGACCATCGACAGGAGAAGGGATAAACAAACTATGGGCCGTCCGCACAAAGAAATACTCAGCAATCAAGGAGGAAAAAAACTACTGATGCATGTAAGAACATGGATGAATCTCAAAAACATTATATTGAGGGAAAGAAGCCAAACATGAAAGTGCCCATGCTATATGATTTCATTTATATGAAATTCTTTTTAAAAGCAATACTAATCTATGGTAACAGAAATCAGAGCAGTGCTTGTCTCTGAGTTGGAGGGGGGCAGTTGACTGGAAAGGGTCCTAAGAGAACTTTCTGGGGTAATAGAAATGTTCTGTATCTTAATCTGGATGTTGGTTACATGGGTGTAGATATTTGTCAAAACTCATCAAACTGTGCTCTTTTTTTTTTTAAAGCATTTTAAAATTATTTATTTATTTTTGCCTGCGTTGGGTCTTCTTTGCTGCACGTAGGCTTTCTCTAGTTGCGGTGAGCGGGGGCTACTCTTCGTTGCAGTGCACGTGCTTCTCATTGCGGTGGCTTCTCTTATTAAAGAGCACAGGCTCTAGGCACGCGGGTTTCAGTAGCTGTGGCACGTGGGCTCAGTAGTTGTGGTGCACAGGTTCTAGAGTGCAGGCTCAGTAGTTGTGGTACATGGGCTTAGTTGCTCCACGGTATGTGGGATCTTCCCGGACCAGGGCTCGAACCTATGTCGCTTGCATCGGCAGGCGGATTCTTAACCACTGCGCCACCAGGGAAGCCCCCAAACTGTGCTCTTAAGAGGACAGCATTTTAGGGCTTCCCTGGTGGCGCAGTGGTTGAGAGTCCGCCTGCCGATGCAGGGGACACGGGTTCGTGTCCCGGTCTGGGAAGATCCCACATGCCGCGGAGCGGCTGGGCCCAGGAGCTGTGGCCGCTGAGCCTGCGCGTCCGGAACCTGTGCTCTGCAACGGGAGAGGCCACAACAGTGAGAGGCCCGCATACGGCAAAAAAAAAAAAAAAAAAAAAAAAAATAGGATAGCATTTTAATTTATGTAAACTAGATCTCAAAAAAGAAAAAACTTAACTGCTAAAAGAAAAGGGAAAGGCGGGGGGAGTTCCAGAGTCTCAGAATCTGAAACTTATTCATAGTTTATGAAAGCTGCTTAATATGAAACATCCCTGCATCATGGGGACCCTAAATAGTTTTATGGCCATCAAAAAGGACAAAAGGACTACTAACAAGGCAGCCCTGATGGCCCTCTCTTGGGTACACATTGTACCATATCCTGTTGCATTTCATTCCCCAAGTCGCTGCAGAAAGTAGCCTGGCCCCCACCCCAGCTGTGGGATGACTCCAGCAAAGAACGCAGGGACCAGGTTCTGCCCTGTGGTGGCTCGAGGCTATGCTCAGTGTGCTTCCTGCTTCTCTCCATCCTCCTCTCTCTGGCAGAGAGGAGTGGGGCTCCTCTCATAACCTACACCTCTCACTTGGTAACTGAAAGCTGACGGCATGTGTGAGTCTATCTGAAGGTGGATAGTGAGCTGCTTTGCAATGTGGAGGACACAAAACTCCTGCATGAAACGGTGATTCAAGTAGAAACGCTTTGAGTCAATATTGGGGAAAGAGGTTGGAATTGGGGAATTTGTGGATGGAACCTTAAACTATGGATTGAAGTGAGTGGTAGTATGGCTTGAATTATATATCCCCTTCAAAAGTAATCTGAAGTCTAATAGATCTGGATCTATTAGAGTGTGATCTATTTGGAAATAGGTCTTTATAAAGATAACCAAGTTAAAATGAGGTCATTAGGGTGGGCCCTAATCCATTATGACTGGTGTCCTTATAAAAAAGGGAAATTTGGATGCAGAAACAGACACTGACAGAGGGAAGACAATGTGAAGACACACACGGAGAAGACAGCCACGTGATAGGAGGAGTTAATGCATTTCCAAGCCAAGGACTGCCGGCCTACACCCTTAGCTAGAAGAGGCAAGGAAGGATGCCTACTCTGGAGATGTCAGAGAGAGCACGGCCCTGCTGACACCTGGATTTCAGACTTCTGCCCTCCAGAACTGTGAGACAATCAATTTCTGTTGAAATTAAGCCACCCAGTTTGTGATACATTGTTATCGCAGCCCTAGGAAACTACTATTAGGGGATTGAGAAGAAAAAAAGATTTTAAAAAATAAAAGAGAAGACACTGCTTTGGGAAAGCAAGTGTTCTCCTTACTTGCTGCAAATAATAAATCCTTCCTTCTCCAGACAAAAAAAAGTAAAAGAAAGGGCAAGAGAGAAGCACCTAAGAGATAAATGTGAGAAATCTCAGGGAAGTTCACTGAATGTATTTTTCTTTAGGATGGAAAAGCTAGGTATGAGAAAGACTTCTGAGAAGAGTCTCAGAGCACTTCCAAAGCTCCTAATTATATACCGGGCTAAGTCCAAGTAATGCAAAGCAAAACCACAGTGCCCCACGCAAGCCTGCCTGTGGTGCGTCCAAGTCCTACATTTGGAGACAACAGCACAGAGGCCTCTTGAGAGGCCACTTCAGGTCATAGGTGAGTCCACTTCACAGGTGAGGACAAAGAGCAACACGCAACTGGGGCAACGGAGGACAGCAGCATTGCAAGGTCCACTTTCAAAACTAAGTGGTTCCCATTCTTTTCTGATTCAGTAAGACTTTCTGGAGAAAGTCAAGTTTTGTGAGGTAGTTTTAAGGGAACAAAAAAGACTATGGTGGGGGGCGGAGCGGGGCAGAGAGCAGTAGTGTTAATGTTTTCTGGCACAGGAAAGGCATTCAGATATGTAGCACTAGTCCGAAGAGTCAGGAGTAGGGCAAGGAGAAGACGGATGGAGTGCAGACGAGGGAAGGAAAGCCGACAGGCACCCTGGGGAGACAAAATGACCCTCCCAGAAGGCACAGAGAACTGGAAGTTTGGTCAAAATGAGAAGCAGTTGCAATAAGGAGACAAATGCTAGAAGACCTTGCCAGGACAGGGATGCTGATGGAGGCCTGGGCCAGGCAAGAGACGACAAGGGTCCTAAAGATCCTGCAGCAGCTACACCAAACCACACATCCTTTTCAGAGACTGAGAAACCAGACCACTCTCAAGACTCTTCTCTCTCTGAAGATGAGACAGAGGGGATATCTTTTTGAGTCTAAAATTATTAACGACTCTGGGGCTTCCCTGGTGGCGCAGTGGTTGAGAATCCGCCTGCCAATGCAGGGGACACAGGTTCAAGCCCTGGTCTGGGAAGATCCCATGTGCTGCAGAGCAACAAAGTCCATGTGCCACAACTACTGAGTCTGCGCTCCAGAGACCGTGAGCCACAACTACTGAGCCCTCAAGCCACAACTACTGAAGCCCGTGCCTAGAGCCTGTGCTCTGCAACAAGAGAAGCCACTGCAATGAGAAGCCCGTGCACTGCAATGAAGAGTAGCCCCCACACGCCGCAACTAGAGAAAGCCTGCGTGCAGCAACGAAGACCCAATGCAGCCAAAAATAAAAAATAATAAATTAATAAAAAATTAAAAATAAATAGAATTATTAATGACTCTGACATAAACCATCAGAGATAGAATTTATTACCTTAGAAATCAACTATCACTGACCCTTTTAAATTCTCAAGACTGGTACCAGCATCTCACTTGAGTAAAAGGACCACACAATGACAATGGTTTGTTGATATATCTTCTATGATAAACGAATCCAGCAAGTGAACATTACATGGATGGGATGGCCCTTTCCTCGTGGCACTGTCCTGTGGTTGCATTACAAAGGCTGCTCCTTGGTGATTACCTTTCCAAAGGTGCAGAGCTGCTGTGAAATAGCCTGTCTCGATCTCTGCACACTGACTTGCTAACGGCATCTCAATGCGGGCCTCCCTGCAGTTGCCTGACCCAGGGAGTCACAAACCACGTCATTGGTTTCATGGCAGGTGTTTCTCCAAATTTAACAACCTTTGCTGTCAAGCAGAAACTCGGCCCTTCTTCCCCTAATACTAAAAGTTTGGGCCTATTATAGTGGAGACTAAAACATGCCAGTGACGTTGTAAAATGGCACTGGAGAAGGCCCTTTACATTTGAGATAGGGCAGCAGAAAGAAGTCTTCAGCGTTCTTGTCTAGTGACCTGAGGAATTAAAAACATCTTTGCTAAACCCAAGATGAAACACTCCAAATGGATTGCCACCCCACGACCCAGCGCATTTTGAAACTGGTGAAGTTCCCAGGGCCCAGCGGTGCTGTGAGACGCCCAGTGGCCTGGGCACCAAGTGTTTCAAAGTTAGACACATTCAATACTTTTCTCCTTCAAAACCCAAGAGTCACTGGACTAAATATACCACTTTATTTGCCGAGATCAATTTCATTCTCTGCAAATGGCTCTGGGTTATCCTTCGGAGGCTTTTGTCCATCAGGCCGTGAGATTTATGTGACATTTACTATCTGCAGATGTGTTTAGTACCAAGCGGAGACTCATCAGAGCCTGCTCTCTTCCTTCCTCGCTTACCCCAGAGGGAAGCAATCGGCAAAACACATTTTAGGGCTGAGAGGAAAGCCAAGGATTCATAACAACTGCTCCAAGTGAGGTTGCGGGACTGATCGACCTGGGGCCAAAGCTCTAATTGCACCCTGAGCTCGTTTGACCTTAGGTGCCCCAGCTACCGGCAATTTTCCCTACACTGACACACGTCAGTCGTGTGTTTGAATTTTGTAAGACTCTTCTAAATATTTCGGTTTGGAAATTAGAACAGATCTGGAAAAACCTCTTGTGCATACCTGATCCTGAGCTAAGCATGGCCCCTCCATAGATGTCCAAAGCCAGTTGAGAATAGGCAAAGCCGAAAACAGAGATGGTCAGGCCAGTGAGCAGGGCCAGCTTTAGCAGGGACTCCAAAACCGCGGCGGCCACAGCAACATCCTCCTTGGGCCGGGGGAGAGGGAAGGAAGTGGGATGAATCATGAGCTAAAGAAAAACTTCACATCTGACTTTCTCCCTTTGCTGTTTTACAGATCACTCCTTCAACTGCTGAGGGCCATCACTGCTTTTCTGTAGCCTGGGTTTGTTTCTATGTCAATTAGCAAATGGAGGGAAAAAGACAAAGTGTACCTCCTTAGGCAGTGCAGGGGAGGGTTAGTTTTTAACTCATTTAGGATAAACTATCTCAAATGTTGCCTAGGAAACACTCACTTCCCCCTCTGACATTTATTCTTAAATGGATGAGTTTTTACATTGTTAGCTAGCTTTGTCACCGTGCTTCTCCTGACAAACAACTCCAAACCCTGATGTTCCTGGAATCTACACTTAGGAAAACATTCCTAAATCAGTCTGAGAACCAGATTAGCTCGTTTTGAAATACTGTGCATAAACTGTATTTTGCAAAATGTCTTCTAAGAGATGTAAGAGGCCAACTTAGCTTGCTTCTAATTCTAAGACAGACATTTTCAATGGTTCTAGGAAAAGGGAAGTTTCTACAACCAAATACTCCTGGATTAAAATCTCTTCTGTTTTTACTGGCTGGAGTATATCAATTCTCAGAGTCAGAATGGAGCTCTGGGCATGTCACAGTCCTTAAGAAGCTAAACAACTGGTGTGGTGAGCGAGACCAAATGTCCGCATGCTTTCCTCCCCGCACCCTCAGTTAGCCTTGACCCCGTCTCTGCATCCTTCAGCTCATCTTTTGTTCCTGAGAATCTGAGGATGGGGGAGGCAACCTCATTCTTACACCTAAGACTAGACCATGGAAGGAGGTCTGCGCTGCACTGGGGACAGCCGCAGAGAGTTCTGAGAGGGCTGGGACAAGAATAAGGTCACAAAGAAGGACAAAGGGTGAAAAAGAAGGGCTGGTCAGGGGAAAAAGGAGAAGCTGTGAAAGAAGAAGTGAGCTCAGCGTCCTGCCATCATTCAGAATGTGATAGAAGAATGAAAACTAGAAGAAAATTTCAGAGCTAACAGAGGGGAACAGATAGCTCCACGTTTCTGTCTGTTTATCCTGCACATAGACAGAGAATTCACTTGGGAGATGGTGACATAAGAACCAAGACTACCTGCTTCTGAAGTGTAGCATCCTTTTCTCTCTCCAGCACCTTAGCAAAGAATATATAAAAACTCTCTTCTATTGGCTGGAAAATTAATCTGGCCACAAGGGAGCCAAGATTATTCACTATATCATACACGCCTACAAAACAAAAAGGAAGAAATAACAATCGTATTGGTTTTTCTATTTGAATTTTTATAGCACCATTAAAATTTTTTCTAATTTAATTTTTTAAATTAAACTTTTTGAGATAATTATAGATTCACTTGGAGTTGTAAGAAATAAAAGAGAGATCCATGTACCCTTTACTCAGTTCCCCAAACAGTATATTCTTGCAAAACTATAGCACAATATCACAACTGACATGGATACAGTCAAGATACAGAACATTTCCATCACCAGCATTTTTTTATAAAAGTCATTAATGCCAAGTTGATTTTTTTTTCTATTTTTATTTGCACTACTTTGGGATTATATTCAAAAATAAATGTGAAAAAAATATTAAGACCTATCTAGCCACACAAACATGGAGCAAATCTTTGTGACTGCAATGAGCTCCCTTTTCCCTTAGCACACTCTGCCCCCAAAATGAGCACCAGAGCTCTGCAGAAAGCAGGGTAAGGGCAGAGAATCTCAAAAGAGAACTTGCCACCCATGTCAATGAGAGGGGATAGTCAAATATATATTTATAAAGACCTACAATTTTTAATCTTCAGGATTCATTTCTTATAATCTTTTTGTAAAAAATAGTCTGCAGGTTCATTTTTTCATTAAATGTATCAAACTGCAGAGAAAAATATGAGAAAGTATCTACTAATAGTTCATCTTTAATTAAAACAATACAGAATTTCATCTTACCCTGATCCCCAAAATTTAACACGTTCAAAAATGTCATCACATATCGCTCGCCTGTAAATGGAAAAGCAAAATAATTAGCATTTCAAATGTACAGTATTTTCTTCTTTCCTTTTCTTTTATCGTCTATCATCTCTTCCAGTTGGTAAATACTCTCAAAGGAGAAAAATTAAGTAATCAGTTAAAGACATGTTCCTTGTCCTAATGTTGATTTCAAATAATCTCAAAATAATAACAATTTGGAAAGTGCAGGGGGCTTTACTGACAACAAATTTCCAAACCAGTTAAATTAAAAACAAAACAAAAATCAATAAAACCAGTCTGATAAGTTTTTCAAGAAGTATGAGGAGTTACTAAAATGTTAATGATGAAAATGATTATCTCAAGTTTTCAGGGAGGTCAGATAATCTGAGTGTAAATTCTGTGAAATGAAAGGTCCATGATTCAGTGCACAGACTCATCAAAAGTTTCCTCTTTGGGTGGATAAAGCTCCGTGGAGGCTGGCAGTTCCCTGGAGCCCAAGTTCACAATTCAAGACAGTCTAATGCTTTCAAGGTGAAGACACCAGCCCAGAGCCCTATTCCCCACCCTCAACTTCCATGAATGTTCTTATTATCTGTGAGTGGAAAGCACTGACCACTATGGAGGTGGAGCACTGAAGAGTGTCCATAGCTCTGAAGGGCCAACTCTCACCTCCTAGCAACTTGCTCAAAGAGGAAAGCAATATTAAGAGATGAGAAGCAATGTGATCTCAAGTCTCTCTTCAGCCCTTCCCTGCCTACAATCTCCCAGCCACTGCATTTGTGGCAGGGATCTTTGCAAGTCTTCCCAGGCACGGTTCCTCAGGCACTGCACTAGTTCCCATCTGTATCTCTGCTCTGTTCTGATCCATCCTCACCACTAACAGTTCCAGCTTTTGCAAATACAGATCTTAAGTCAATCCCTGTCTTCACAATTTTAAATGGCTCTGTAGTGTTTGCAAAAAGTCCAAGCGCCTTGATTCTGCATTTGAGGTCTTTTATTATTTAATTATTATTATTTTTTAGAAATTTATTTATTTTTGGCTGCGTTCAGTCTTCGTTTCTGCGCGTGGGCTTTCCCTAGTTGCGGCGAGCAGGGGCTACTCTGTTGCAGTGCACGGGTTTCTCATTGCAATGGCTTCTCTTACTGCGGAGCATGGGCTCTAGGCGCGCGGGCTTCAGTAGTTGTGGCTCACAGGCTCAGCAGTTGTGGCTCGTGGGTTCTAGAGCACAGGCTCAGTAGTTGTGGTGCACGGGCTTAGTTGCTCTGTGGTATGTGGGATCTTCCCGGACCAGGGCTTGAATCCGTGTCCCCTGCATTAGCAGGCGGATTCTTAACCACTGCGCCACCAGGGAAGCCCTTGAGGCCTTTTATAAACTTACCCCGAGCTATCTTTTTGGCCTCCCTTCACCAACCTCACCCCCACCTCCCACCATCACACCATCATCCTCTGCTACACCCTACACGGAGGATTTAGCCCCTCCAGCTGCCCTGAGTCAGGCTGGGCTGGTGTTCCCAGCCTCAGCTGTTGGTATTCTCACCACCTGCAATGGCTTTTCTTCAGGGGCTTCCCTGGGTTCTGGCACAAAAGGCCTCTCCCTCCCACATTCTGTGAGCTCCCTGAGGGCAGGAACCACGTCTCAGTCATCTCCGTGCGCCTGGCTGCCTAGCAGAGCTCCAGGAAATGAAACAGCACTCAAGAGATGTCTGGCGAATGAGCTGGCATTTCCAAGTACAGCCCCTCACAGCCCTGTATCAGAGTTAACGACACAAATGCCTGGGGAGAGTCTCTGGGGAGAGAATGAGCTCCTTGAGGCCACGGCCTGTTCCTCATTCATCTGTGTATTCTCAGCACCTGACACACAGTGTTTAGGAAATGTGGGGGCAGAAAGTAACAGCATTTATATACACACACATACACATACACACACACATACACATATACTATACACACACATATACTATATACACACACATACACACACACACATATACTATATACACTCACTCACATACACATATACTATATACACTCACACATACACACATACACGTATACTATATACACTCACACATACACACACACATACACTATATGCACTCACACATACACACACATACAAATATACTATATATACTCACACATACATATACTGTATACACTCACACACACATACACATATACTATACACTCACACACACACACACACATATACTATATATGCTCATACATACACACACACATTTTTGCTATAACAATAAATGATTTCAAATTTTTTAGAGCTGTAGTTTTTAGAGAAGAAGAATCTGGGTGTCCTTGTCAAGTCCCTTCCTTACTTCACAGCCACAGAGAGGGAGGCCCTGGAAAGTCCCTAAGGGCCCTCTGCCAGCCAGGTCAGGACGGCCCAACCATGGAACAGGCCCAGCTTGGGAGGCTTGAGTGTGTAGCTGACACCTGCCACTGCAAACACATCTAGCCACTGCAGTCCACACAACCAACTTAGGGCCACTGCTTGCAACCAACTCAGGACCATTCCTCAACTCATTCAAACTGTCCTTTAAACTTCAGGAGGAAAAAAAAGTGCATTTAAGTAACACCCCTTCCCAAAACTCCCTCCATTGTTTTGCCTGTTCTAACAATAATGGGAACTATCACAATATACAATTTCACTACAGTACCTTTCTTTATCAAAAAATACTTGCTGAATACCTATTATGTTTCAGGCCCAGCAGGGTGCCACGGAGACAGTGGTGAACAGCACACTCGCTGCTCTCAAGAAACTTAGCGTTAAGGCACCTTCACTCAGCTCTCCGAAGGCTTCTGACCTTTACTTCCTCCAGAAGCCCTATGAACAGTTTCACTTCTGTAATGGCAGCATTATGGGCTCAGGCTAGAAACATCCATTCGCAAAGTTCAGGGAGCCCTCAGGCACCTCCTGGTCCTATCCTTTAACTCACAGATGCGGAAAGTGAGGCTTAGGGGGGTTACTTCCCTTTGGAAGCATAATGAATAAAATAAAGAAGGTGGAAAAGGAAAAACAACAAGATAATAATAATGATGTTTGTATTAGAATGCTAGAATTATAGGAAACTTTTCTATTTTCCAAAATTCTTGTAATTGGGGTTATATTATTTTCATAATTAAAAGATAATTTTTGAAAATATTTAGAAACACGTTCAGTAATAGATATATAGATGTACAGACACACGAAATTTATAGAGAGAAACTACTACCTTCAGCAGCTTATAGCCGCCTCCAATCTCATTCTTTGAACTAAAACTGGGTATAAATAAACCATACGTATATATAGAAAAATTACATATACTTTCAGCTCCTGGTTTGCCCTCTGCTTCAGAGCTCTGTCACTGTTAAACTGGAAAGTCCCGAGAAGTCGGAAGGCTGACCAAACTATCCCACAGGTGAATTTTATTGTTAAAGAAAATAAAATGAGAAAAACATGGTCTTAAAAAGTGCAGAAAAAGAAGTGTATAAAAAGTTAGGAAAATGAGATTACAGATAGTTTTCTGTATTTTCCAAACTTTCTGTAATTGATATAATATTTTTATAATACATTTGTTTAAACGCTGTTAACATGGGTTCTGGAGTTAGACTTGGATTCAAATTAAATTGCTCCTCATTCTTGCAGAAGTTATGTAACCTCACTGACCCTCAGTTTCCTCATCCATAATAAATGGGGACAATATCTTTCTTACAAGGCTGTGGGGAGATTTAAATTAGACAACTGAAGTATCAAATTAAATAAATGTTAGTTTCCCTCTCCTTGTTTAAAAAACTCCCATTTCTGAGGGTCCTCTGCCCTGGGAGCTCTAGGCAGCAGGTGGTCTGCATCTAGGCAATCATCAGTTCTATGGAATCCCCTGGCTGATACTTCGGTTTCCTGACTGCTCAGAGAGACCTTTTACTTACCTTCTGTCAAAATCTGTTTCAAGAAAGACTGTTTGAAGAAACTCCAAGTCAATTTAGCCTCTTCCCAATTTACAAAAGCCTAGAAGAAAAAACAAAATAAAACAAAAACTCCAGGTGTTCCAAGTCTAAGAATACAGTAATACTACTGAAACTCAGTTTGGTCTCTAAATCCCAATTTGGATAGTCCCTGCTAATTTTTCATTTACTGCTAAGCACACAGAAAACATCCAACGAATCCTGGCAAAGAACTTACATTCCTAAATGTGAAGACAAAGTCTCTGGGTGGAAAAGCCTCCCTGTGGGCCCTGCCCAAGATTCATTCACTGAGACCCCTAAAGAAATGTGCTGTCCCCTTGCTGCTGCCCAGAGAGTAAGCTGACCACATGGAACACACACAGCTCACAGTCAGTTCTTCCCTTAAAAGACGTCTGAAGCATGCCAAGCTGCAGGACAAGTTCTGCTCAATGTATGTCTTAGTGCTTTATTTAGCCAGCCAGGGTCCCTTTACAGAAAGCATATGAGCTTGGCTTGTATATTTCAAAAGAAAGTAAGGCCTTCCAGGTCAGTTAAACCACATAGAATTGGAACAACAGAGAAAGGAAAACAAAAACAAAAAACAAACTTCTGATATGGCTCTTCTCAAACTCTCAGGGGGAGCAACAAACTGCCCATTTCCTAGGGACAAGGAGGGTAAGAAGGAAGCAAATGCTTAGGAAGGGCAGAGGTCAACCTGTAAGAGACAGGTAGCCTCAAATCCAGACAGCTGACCACAAAATGCAGGAGAGGGGCAAGCTAGCTGGACGTGACTTCTTTTTTTCTACTTCCTCCCAGTTCCTTCTAGGGGCCTCTCCTCAAAAATGAAGGCATCCTGGGACTCCAGAATATTCAGTTTAGGTGTTAGGTTCTTATTCTCAGGGTACTTGCATTTTGGAAAGTTCTTATTAACTCAGTTGATGACTTTTGAAAGGTGGGATTTCAGGGGGCTATTTAGGAGGAAAGGGGTGAATCTCAAGGCCAAGCCCACCCCACCTCTCTAAAAGGTCGATTTTAGCTATGGAAGCTGGCCCAAAGGCAGGTGTAGAACCTGTCCCAGTCACACGGGCCCCTGCTCTTGGCACAAAGCCCATCTGTGTAGAAATATAATGCATGCCATATATATGATTTTTAATTTTCTAGCAGCCTACAGTGAATAGTAAAAGGAAACAGGTAAAATTCATTTTAATATATTTGATTTGACCCCAAATATTATCATTGCAACATGAAAATACTAGAAGCATTTCATATTTTTTATATTAATTCTTTGAAATCCAGTGTGTATTGAGTGCACTTACAGCTCATCTCAATTCCAAATGCTCTGTAGCCACACTGCCCTGTCCACATTACCATTTAGGACAAGGCAAGTCTAGAGTACCCTTTGAAAGCAAGAGTCATTTCCAGTCCTCAAATCTCCTCACCGTTTGGTTTCAGAACCTTTCTTCCATATTTGGAGGACAGTTCTGAATCCTGCCAAACCACACTGACTTCAGTGCATCATTGAACCTGGAGCCAAATGCCAGGGGTAGCTCTAGTCCAGGAGGAAATTTTCCTCAGTGAGAAAGAAACTAGGCATTTCCTTTCCCCAGAACAAAGAGCGCCAGACCGCCCTACACCACTAGGGGACACTGTGGACCATGTCATCCTCGTACACTGATCCCGCCCATAGTTGGCTTCAGGGGAGCCTGGGTACAGCACCTTCTCTCTCTCACACTCTGCCCCCTCCATGCCAGGTGGTCCTCTGGAGGGAGCGAGGGGTGTGATCTGCAAAGCAGTAACTGTGCTCTTTTCAAAGGAAATGAACAGTTACAGTGGGCCCACAAGGCTTTCGTGAAGCCTACTTGCTGTTAGGCTGTGAATTGATTTGGAAAGGTGGCTGAGCTCTTTAAAAAATAAAAATAAAAAGTTCTTTAGGAGAGTGAAATCATGACAGTGCATCTGATCTTCAAGCTTATACTTGAGCATTCCTTTCTCCTAATGCCTTCAATTTAAATGGACCCATGGTTTGGAAGGAACAGCCACACTGCTTACTAACTCCAAAATGCTCATTAAGGACACAGAGGCAGGAAGTCTGATCAGAGATTGGGTTTCTTCTCAGAGGCACCTGCTAAGTGGTGGAAAAAAGAAGCACTCTTCGGGCTTTTACCATTCTGTTCTGAATGGATTTGCCACTTCGGAAGGTCAAAAGAGGCCTCTTCCCCAAGAGCTAGGTTGGTATTGCTGAGCTGGTCTACAGGCTGTGAATTTCTCCAGAATCCCGTGACCAACAAGCCATTCCACTGCCTCCCGGTACTGATGGAGAAACTGAGGTACAGGTGGGGAAAGGTGATGTGCAGTACCTCTGGAGAAGGTCTGGAATCAGAACTCAGGGGCTCATTGTGCTTTAACCTGAGTCACTCTTCCACTTCCCAAACTCTTCTGACTCAGAATGGTCCAACCAGCTGCATCTTTAACCACACTGACAAGAGTCACCAGGGCCACGGTCCTGTCCCCTGCCCTCCATCACCTCCACACCCCACACAGCACTCTTTCCTCTCCCTCTCGCTCCAGGGCTATCGACTGCCCTGGTTTCGTCCATGCTCCCACTTCCACCCACCCTCCACTGTCCTCATCACTTGAAAAGTGATAGATGATTGCCACTGCCTCTTCCAACCTTTTCTCTCCTCATGGTAGGGTTCAGGCTTTGGATTCAAGCTCAGAGACTGGGGCTCAAACTACAGCTCCTCACTTTTTGTTGTTGTTGTTTATTTTGGCTGCGCTGGGTCTTAGCTGCAGCACAAGGGATCTTCGTTGTGGCATGAGGGCTGCTTCTGAGTTGCGGCATGCATGTGAGATCTAGTTCCCCAACCAGGGATTGAACCCAGGTCCCCTGCATTGGAAGCATGGAGTCTCACCCACTGGACCCAGGGGTGAGACTGGGGAAGTCCCATTCCTTACCCTTTTTTTTCTTTTTTCTTTTTGGCTGGGCCACAGCAGCATGTGGGATCTTAGTTCCCCAACCAGGGATCAAACCCGTGCCCCCTGCAGTGGAAGCGCAGAGTCCTAACCACTGGACCTCCAGGGAATTCCCTACAGCTCCTGACTTACGGACTACGAAGGCCATGGGCAAAATACTTAACTTTGCTAAGCCTCAGTTTTCTCACCTACAAAGAGGGATAAGAAGTCCTATCTCCTGGAGCTGGTATGAGCATTGAATGAGAGAAAACTAGACATGATAAATTTGTAACAGATGGTAAGTTTCTCAACACAAGCAATTAGACCATGGTACTGTTCAAAAACCTTTCATTAGGCTCCACTGCCCTTGAATTGCACTTGGCAGCACTGAGGCCATTACTACCCGGTTCTAGACCAGCACGCCGTCACCTCCTTCCCCCTTTTGCTTCCTCACCTCTCCCCTCCCCAGCTGTCCAACCAACCTAAGGACCCAGTCATCTCTGCAATCCCAATTCCAACACGGTGATGGGCACATAACAGGCCCTGAGCAAATGTTCTTCCTTCCTACAGCCACGAATGCTCATTTCTACCACAGGTGCACATTCACCTCTGCCCGCTCAGGCGTCAAGGCCTGGCTCAAAAGCAGCTTCCTCCATGAAGCCTTCCTTGACGCTTGCAGATGGAATTCATCAGTTCTTTCTCTGTGCTTCTATCTTGTTAACACTAGACACACAGTGTAGTTAGCAGAGTACACATGTTATCTCCCCACCACAGTGCAAGTTATGAGCACAGGGACCTCACTCAGGGCACCTGGTACAGTGCTTAAGACAGGATACTGCTTAGTACATGCTTGCTATGTTAAATTCCTCAGCTTTACTTGCATGCTAGCTGATCTCTCATATTAAATCCCTCAGAAGTGTCAAAGAATAGAAAAGATGTAAAAGGCAGCCGTTATTTGAGATGTCATTATTTTAAGGCTAAATAAGTAACATTAAAGAAGATAGAATTCTGGATTTCCCTGGTAGCACAGTGGTTAAGAATCCACCTGCCAATGCAGGGGACGCGGTTTTGAGCCCTTGTCCGGGAAGATCCCACATGTCGCAGATTAACTAAGCCCATGTGCCACAACTACTGAGCCTGTGCTCTAGAGCCTGTGAGCCACGACTACTGAAGCAAGTGCGCCTAGAGCCCGTGCTCCGCAACAAGAGAAGCCACCGCACCACAATGAAGAGTAGCCCCGCTAACCGCAACTAGAGAAAGCCCACACACAACAACAAAGACCCAATGCAGCCAAAAATTAATTAATTAAAAAAAAAAGAAGATGGAATTCTATAAGAGGAGGCAAGAAATCTCCCAATTTGGTCAAGTTGATTGTGAATGCAATTTTTTGACCAGTTTCGTAGAAGGGAGCCCCCAGGGCAGAAAGCTGTTCTGGAGAGTCAAGTTAGGCATGTTGCTGGTGTAGTCATCCACTGCATTCAGATTTGTCTCGTTTCTTTTCTCTTTAAAAAAGTAAACTTGAATAATGAATTGTTCTACCTGGAATCTCCCAATCTTTAAGTAAATAAATAATTACTTTGGGCAATAAGCCAATTTCTTTTGGAAGACTTCATAGCATAGAGATTTAAACACACAGACTAAAGTTTTTCCATAGACAGAAGTTAGAGAGAAGTGGGTCCAAAGCCAGCTGTGTGATTTGGGGTGCATCACCTAATGTCTCTGAACCTCAGTTTTCTCACCTGTAAAATGGGAGACAATAGTATTTACCTCATAGGATTACTAAGAGGATTAAGGACAGAAGTCCAAGTACAGTACTTAGCCTAAGGCCGGGCACAGAGTAAGTGTGCAGTCAATGGCAGTTATAATGGCTCTTTGTCAAAGTTCAAATACTTTCACAGAATTCTGTAAGTCTTTAAGAGGGGCCTCAGAGGTTGTGTAGACCAACAATCTCACCTTAAAAGTGAGGACCCTGAGGTCTGGAGAGAGTCCTGCAGGCTTCAGATCTGTATCTACTGCCTCCCAAATGCACAGGAAGCTCCCTGAGGCTAAGAAGTCACCTTCCTACGTGTCTGTATCCCAGAGAACACCCAGCAGGGGCTGTGTTCTGTCAGCAGGAACGCTGCCACCATCATGTGTGACAGGTACACCCAACCTTCTTAAGGTCAAGACTTCTGTCCTGACAACATGAGCATGGATACTTTCGGGACAGATTGCCAGATGAAACCGCTGAGCTCTCAGCAATGTCATCAGCGTCTGCCTGGCTAGGATGCTCGAGTGGAGCTACTCCTGCTCTCAGAGCAGCAGTGGGATGCTGATGATGGTATGCGCTGTCACTTATGGATGTGCACTCATGCCAGGCCACAGTGTTAAGCACCTTATATGCCCCATCTCATCTGGCTCTCACAACCACCTTAGGAGGGAGGTATTCTTATTATGCCCATTTGACAGATAAGGAAACTGAAGGTTGGAGTTCTGAGCCCATCACAGGGTTAAGTACACACTTGTCAGACTCTTTTCCTTACCCTCTCTATCTTTGCCTGTATTAACAGTAAAAACGCTCCTTTCCAAAATACTGCTGGGTGCAGGCGCTGGTCCAGTATGAAAAGCTGGCCAGGCTTGGTACAGGTGGGCCCTGGGGAGCACTCAGGGAGGGGGACTTTTCTGCACTCTCAGACCCGCTCTGTGGGCAGGGAGCAGAAGCTCCAGGCAAGAGAAGTGATCTGGAGTCCTGATCTGTTAAGCCTGCAGATAAGGCACCATGGTATCCAAAAATTGTCATGTTGATTTAGGTTAAAGGTAAGATCTAGTTGATCAGAATGGAGAACTCTCATATAACAAATAAGAACATATCTGGCTTTGCTACATAATTTCTCGTTTTTCTTGAAAAGCTGCATAACAAGATTCCTTAAGTTCTGAGACTTAAGTCCCAAATACTTTATTACATTTTCAAGTAATCACAAAAGAGCTATAAGGAGAAGTCCAGCTGAAGCCTTCCCTCAACTAAGTGCACCACATCCAGCAAGCAAATAAGTACGAGAAAAAGGGAAAGTGCATCAGCCCAGATGGAGCAGGTCACAGAGCATCTGTGCAGAGGCAACGTGGTAAGACATCACATGCACGGCTCTTGGGCTAGAGACACTAGCACTGACCCCACCAGAGTCAGGAGATAAAAGTCAAATGGACTGAAAGTTGCTCTCACACATCAGCCTCTGGAATCCTCAGTGGTCTACGTGGGGAAGCGGATCACCTGAGAGAGCAGCCTGACACTAGGCGAAGGAACTCTGCAGGGCCCCTCCCTGCTTTGTCAGCACCCTCCAGACTATCTGTGCTGGAGGTCAGTCCCGGGAAAAACCAAGAGACGCAGCAGAACAGAGAGAGTGAGCACAGTGGTGAGAGCCCTGTGCTCTGCTGGGATTCACGCCACTCCAGCTCCTGTCCTCACTCTGACCCTCACCTTGGGCAGGTAATTTAGTTGCTAAGCCTCAGTTCCTCAACGCTAAAATAGAAGTAATAATGTCATCCCCAAAGAGTTGTTATAAGCATTAAATAAGGTATGTAAATCATCCAGCACAGGGGCTGGCAGAGTGATATTCAACTGGGGGCAATTCTGTCCCCCAGGGGACACTCCACAGTGTCTGGAGATATTTTTGGTTGTTACAACTTGGGGGTGGTACCTCCTGGTATCTAGTGGGTAAAGATCAAGAACGCTGCTAAACATCCTACAATGCAAAGGACAGCTCCCACAACAAAAATTATCTGGCCCAAACTGTCAATAGTGACAAGATTTAGAAACCCTGGCTGAGCACATAACAAGCACTCCATAGACATGAGTTATCAAATTATCTTTATTATTTTAACAATAAGCAATAAAGTTGTCATTTCTTTCCCTCAAGGATAACTAGCATCTGTGATTAAAATGATAACAGACAAAATACATTACTTACTCTACTTCTCGTAATAGTGGGTAACAGATCTGTCATTCTGGAGACAGGAAGAACTTGTTGCTTGGCTGATTCTGGGGAGCCCAGTAACTTTGTGAAATAAATAACATAGCAGAGCACCAGAACTGCAGTATAGAAAAGCTGAAAAAAGAAAATAATGGGTTTAAATTACACTGTTTTAATGTAAGCATAATTAAGATACAACTATAGATCTGACCTCAAAGGCCAGTCAAGAAATAGAACTGTCTTAATTAACTGTACTTTCTATGGAGCAATGTCTCACCCTCTGGAAAACAGCACTACTGAGTATGACCCAGCTCCACTGCAGCATCTCTAGGGAAAGTGTCACACTTCACCTGACTGGGAGAACAGAAGTTCTTCCAGGCAGGCAGAACATAAGTTCCATGACAGACATCCACTAGGACAACCACCACAGCAATGTCAGATGTGTTCTCCGAAGATTCGTATTTGGACAAAGGGATGGCTCTCCCAGCTAGACAGTACACCTTGAGAATCCATGTGTTCCGGCTGTGCTAGTATCCAGGGACTTGTCCATCATCTAGGGCTGGGGGTTTTCCATGAACCCCAGAAACCTGTGACACTATGATTAAAAAGCAGAATTGAGTTGCTGGCTCTCCTTTCTGCCTAGTGCATGGGTAGGGCAAGAGCTACTACAGGATGGGGAGGGACAGGGTGCTAAGAGGCTCCACCCCTTCCTCTTCCCATCTAGGACAAAAAGATGTCTTCTGGCCATGAGCAGCAGCCTGGGGTTTTGTCTGCAGGTTGGGGAGGAGTATCCAAAGAGACCCTTTTCAGGAATTCCCTAGCAGTCCAGTGGTCAGGACTCTGCACTTCCAATGCCGGGCACCCAGGTTCGACCCCTGGTAAGGGAACTACAATAAGATGCCACAAGCTGCGTGGCATCGCAGGGAAAAAAAAAAAACCGAAAGAGCCCCTTTTCGTAAGCTCCCTTATCCCCTCTGCCCCTGAGAACAGTGCACACTAGCTTAAGAAGTACTGGGACCTCCAGGCCCCACTTTCAATCTGGAAACACCAAGGCTGCTCCTTTAGTAAACGCACTAAAAGGAGTCTGGGTTTAGCAGGTGTAGGCTCCTCTGCTCTCCACGCCCATCCATGCCTGAGGACAGACTCGCCATCTACTCTCCTTCTTTCACGCCTCAAACCCTTTAAGACACAAGCAGCGCTGTGGGGAGCCACACCACCTGATGCCAACATCCTCTGTAACAAGCACGCTTTTCTAGCCCCCTTCCCTGCCTCTCTCCATCTTCCTGCTGACCAGAGCCTGGGGAAGAGCAACAACCTCTTTACAGAGTATCCTAACTACATGATCCCTTCCCCTTTTTCTAATTGAGGAAATATTCACGTAAATTGACCATTTTAACCATTTTAAAGCATATAATGGCAGTGGCTTTTACTACATTCACAATGTTGTACAATAACCACCATTATCTAATTCCAGAACATTTTTCATTACTCCAAAAGGCAATTCTGGACCCATTAAGCAGTCCCTCTCCATTCCCCCAGCCCCTGGCAACCACTAATCTGCTTTCTGTCTCTACAGACTCACCTATTCTGGACATTAACATATTAATGGAAACATATAATAGGCGGCCTTTTGTGTCTGGCTTCTTTCACTTAGTATCATGTTTTCAAGGTTCATCCATGTTGTAGCACGTATCAGTATTTCATTTTTATGCTGAATAATATTCTATTGTATAGATATACCACATTGTGTTTATCCATTCATCAACTGATGAACATTTGGGTTGTTTCCACCTTTTGGCTATTGTGAATAGTATTACTATGAACATCCATGTACAAAATTTTGTTTGAACACCCATCTTCAGTTCTTTTGGGTATATACCTAGGAGTGGAATTGCTGGATCATATGGCACTTCTACATTTAACTTTTTGAGGAACTGCCAAATTGTTTTCCACAGCAGCTGCACCATATTACATTCCCACCAGCAATGTATGAGTGTTCCAATTTCTCCATATCTTCACCAGTGTTTGTTATTTTCTATCTTTTTGATACTTGCCATCCTAACTGCTGTAAGGTGGTATCTCATTGCAGTTTTGATTTACATTTGCCTAATGACTAATGATGTTGAGCATCTTTTCATGTGCTTATTGGCTATTTATTTGTGTATCTTCTTTGGAAAAATGTCTATTCAAGTCCTTGACCCACTTTTGGGATGGTTTGTCTTTTTGTTGTCGAGTTGTAAGATTTCTTTATATATTCTACAGTGACTCTTTTATTTGAGTTATGATGCCATGGGGAGAGGGGCCAGTTCAAGGAGGAACCTGGAGGCAGGTTGGAGAAAGGGGAATCCCAGCACCATAGGTGGGGCTCACCTGCTGATATGAGGTGCTGTTGGCTCTTAGACCTCTCCCACAGAGACTGACAGAGAACATACCAGAGAAGTGCTCTCAGAAATCTTATAATAAGGATGTCAATAAACTCAGAATTGGCCTAGCTGACCTATGATCTATGACGTATCCTGGGTGGGAACTATGACAATGAGAAAGTCATAATGCAAGTAACTTTCCCAAGAAGAGTCAACCAATAACTGGGCATCTCTACTGCCCTCCTATCCTATTAGGGAGAGTCCATCACAAACAATGATGAATGTTGAGAACTGTAGTTCTAGATCTAATAAAACATGGCAAAAATAATCAGAGATAACTTCTCTAAAATATGCAATTGTAGCAAGCTACTTTTAGGAAGCAATTCTCATTCTTTTTTTTTTTTTTTTTTTTTTTGGGTCGGGGGGCCTCTCACTGTTGTGGCCTCTCCCGTTGCGGAGCACAGGCTCCGGACGTGCGGGCTCAGCGGCCATGGCTCACGGGCCCAGCCACTCCACGGCATGTGGGATCTTCCCGGACCGGGGCATGAACCCGTGTCCCCTGCATTGGCAGGCGGACTCTCAACCACTTCGCCACCAGGGAAGCCCCTCATTCTTAATCTATAATTTTAAATCTAGCTCTTCTATGTTTCACAGAAATATTTGTACTTTTTGCCTAGGACATGGGAAACATTTTCACATAAATCATTACTAAGAATTTTAACTTGTCTTCCAATACATTAAGAAAAATTACAAAGTAGTTTGTACTATGAGATGGTCTGATAACTATATGATCTTTTTCAGTTTTTAAATTAGCATTAGTACTGTAGTTACATTTTTAATAGAACTAGAAATATGAACTAGAACTAGAAAATGAGATGGAATTGAAGCCAAAATTGCTAAAAATGAAAACGTACCTCCTATGACTAGATTCACACCCTCTGAATTATGAGAGATTTCAATCTAAGTTTAAAACAGGCTTGGCAGAGTTTCCTGCTATTCTGAAAACAATTGATTGAAATCCAGGGAAAATAACACACATGTAATTTGATTCCCACTCCACCCCCTTACTGCTTTTTCTCTCCTCCATAGGATTGTCAGACAATCAAAGATCAGTTGGATACGGGCTGGGCTTGCCCACAGAATGTCTAAAGGAGTTTTTATGTCTGACAACAAGGCCGGATGTGGCCCTCACCAGGTCCCCACAAACACCAGTGGTGTCAGTGTATGCAGCAGGATGGACATGGCAGCCAGAGGAGAAGCAGTGCTAAGACCACCTTTCTAGAGCTTCCAGCCTTCTCCACATGCATGAATACTGTAAATGTAAATCACTGAGTAACAGAAACAAGAAGTAAAAAACAGATGGAGAAACAGATTATACAAAAGTTAAAAGTCATAACTCTTACCTGGGCCAAAGAGAAAATATACAGTCCCCAGTGAGGCAAACACACCACGAGAAAAGCTGTCAGGACGCTCTTGAGGATTACTGACAGGCTCTCAGCAATCACCTGCAAACTCATGGTAAAGGGTACACTTTACAAACATTATTAAAAACTAAAGATGCAAAGGAATCCCAGAAAATCTGGGATAGTGGTTACCCTGGTGGTAGGGGTGGGGCATATGGTTGGACACAGTATTAATAATATTCTACTTCTTAGGTTGGGTGGTAGGTTCATGAACCTTCAGTATATTATCATGCTTTAAGATTTACATATATGTTACACACTATATTCTTTTGTATGTATCAAATAATATATTTTAAAAGATGAAAAGCTAATATCAGTATACAACTAAATAGAATCACTAGAAAAATCTGAAAAACGTCCTTTTAAATTCTTATTTACACTAATAACTTCGCTATTAACAAAACCTGTTCTTCATTAATAGTGTAGCAGAGGTAAACTTCAACCAAACTCATCTGACAAATCTCAAGTGAATGAACTGAACTGATCATGTTACCTTTTTCCAAATATTTTTTTAGATGCAAATCTGAAAAGACCATTCTCTCCTATAAAAACATTTTTTAAACACCACTCTTTCTCCTATTCTTCTCATTTCTCATTCACAGCAGAAGGCACACTGACCTTAAGCTTGACAAACATATGTGCTTGTGCCAAGACCCAGAAGGGCTCTCCCAGAAGTTCCACCACTGCCGAGAACCCAAACAACACCACTCCAGTTCCATAGTGGGGGATGACGTCAGGATCGGGCACTGCGAGCAACTGTAGCCAGGCCCACCCCAGGAACACGGACCAAAACACACCCAAAGGGACTCTAGAAAACGGAAAAAATGTCTCTTAATATGCTAAATATAAAAATAAAAATATATTAAAATAGTAACATTGAACAGAAAAGAAATATAGTCATAATAAAAATAGCTACCAAAAAAAAAAAAAATAGCTACCACTTATTCAGGCACTTACTACATGCCAGGCATATGATTCACCCCCTTTATCTCACTGACTCCTCACAATGATACTCTGTCATTACCCCCATTTAAAAGATGAGGAAACTAAGGCTGACAAGCATTGGGTAATTTGGCCAAGGTCACAGACAGCTATTCAGGGCAGAAGTAGGACCCAATCCTGATCTACTCCAAAGGCTGCACTCCTATCCACTGTGTTACAATGACTCGTAAGTAAAACTCCCAGAAGTGCCTGCTGTTTGCACTAGAATAACTGAAGGACGGTATACAGCTGGTCCTTGTACCTCAAATAACTGGTAGTCCAGTGCACAGTATCCCTTTAGGTGTGACCAGAGAGCACTTCAATATGACTGGGTCGCTAACAGTCATTCCTCTAATAAAATAAACACCTACCGGCCCTTATGACAGTCATCTCCATGAGGTAATAAGGAGTTATGCAAGGGCAGGACTGGGAAAGCATTTTAATCACTAGCCCTCCTGGCAGGGATCGAACTGCAGAAAAGCCATTACAATTTTTAGCTGATGTACTTGGTCCTCAAGAATATTCTAAAAGGCTCAGAACTGAAATCAACATAACAAAATTGAGGAGAGATACAAAGAAACCCTTAAAAGGCTTTCAAAAAATAATAAGTGGCTGTTAAAAGCGCAGAAAACACTCTAAGGAAAAAGGTTAGGAATAAAAAAGATGGCACAGGCCCAGTGGGAATCAAAATAGCAGAAACAGCCTCCAAAGAGGGTAGGAGTGGGGTTAGAAACGTGGCACAGAAACCCCTACCCGGAGCTTCCTCCTGGCTCCTGGCCATCCGGAGAGAAAACAGCCAGGGATGCTACTTCACACAGATGTTCTCCCCTTCCTGTCCCACGCCAAGGGCCCAGAAGCCCACTGCAAAACCCAAGCTGGAAACTATTCAGCTTTAGGCAAGTGTTGCTGTTTAATTTCTCACACTTATCACGCTTGCCTCCATGAAACCGTCTCTGGCCAAAGCACGACTCACGTTAGCCACAGGAGGTTGAGGGTCTGGCTCCAGTCCCGCTGGGTGCTGCCACTCAGACATGCTCTGCGGAAGGCCTCTCTGGCCAGGAAGATGGTGGTAGAGTAAAGCAGTGTTAGCCTGTAAAGGAAAAGCAGCAATCAACATGATGTCTAGTTTTTTCACAGAGACAACTTCTGGGATTTTGCTAGCAAACGGGAGGAGGAAAAGTCTTGGTCATAAATCACTGGTGGTGATTGGTGGGGGGCAATGGTTTCTTACAGAAGCCCCCTCCCCAGCTAATCTGATCCATACAATAGGAGAGTTAGGAACCAAACAAGGGACATATGAGTGTGTGCCTGTAAGAGTTATGCCTAGGACAGAAACTGCCACAGAGGCCCCCAAAGACTGCAGCCTTTGTGCCTATACAGAGGTGTGGCTCTGACCATAAGGAGGAAAAAAGGACAAGATATGACCGCACACAGCAAGAGGGCCTCTTGGTCACCCGGAGACTGGTGACCTAATGACCCCTATGAAAGAAGCTGAGGCTCTATTGAGTAGAGAATCTCAACACAGGCAATGAGGCTGGCAACCACTACTGGGGCCGCTGCAACCCAGATGGGCAAGGCTTGCCCACATTCCTCCTTGTGGGCTTACCTAGGTGGACCCTCCTGCACCTTAGCAAAGAGTAGCTACAGTTCCCCTTCCTCAACAGGCAGTTGATTGGATGAAGCTAGAATGAGGATGGCCCAGGGCTAAGGTACCTGAGGTTGTCCAGGGACCATTCTGTGACCCAGTGCTTCTGTCCCAATGAGACTGAACTATATGTTAAGCAGGTGGACAGGCCAGACAAGGGCTGTCAATGCAGGGATCTGCAAATCTGGGAGAGGCCCAAACTGCTTTAAAGTTTGAGTACCTAAGAGGCCTTGGCCCTCTTCCTTCCTGCTTTTACAAGAACGTTTCTTTTTTTTTTTAATAAATTTATTTATTTATTTATTTTTGGCTGTGTTGGGTCTCCGTTGCTGCGTGCAGGCTTTCTCTAATTGCGGCAGCTGGGGCTACTCTTCGTTGTGGTGCGCGGGCTTCTCATTGCAGGGGCTTCTCCTGCTGTGGAGCACAGGCTCCAGGGCGGGTGGGCTTCAGTAGTTGTGGCACGTGGGCTCAGTACTTGTGGCTTGCAGGCTCTAGAGTGCAGGCTCAGTAGTTGTGGCACATGGGCTTTGTTGCTCCGTGGCACGTGGGATCTTCCCAGACCAGGGATCGAACCCGTGTCCCCTGCATTGGCAGGCGAATTCTTAACCACTGCGCCACCAGGGAAGTTCCAAAAAGAGCATTTCTTAAAGTATGGTCCCTATTTCAAAATCACCTGAAAAACTTGTCAAAGTACAGATTCCCGGGCACCTCCTCAGTCCTACCAGTTGCAAAGCTCTCCAGATGATTCCTTTGCCCATCAAAGTTTGAGACCCTTCTCTAAGCTCTGAGAACAGAGCCAAGAGCGTATGTTCGGTAAATATTAGATGTGAAATGCTGTCTGGAACATAATGTCTTGTTTACTAGGACATGAAGACACACCTGGGAAGCTGAGCTATACTGAGCACTCACATCACTTCATATACTTTTGTGTCATTTGTGAAGACAGAATATGTGTGGGTGTCCTTAAACAGACGGGAGGAGAGGAGAAGAAACAGAATCTAAAAGACAAAGCAAGTTGGCTTTCTAAGAGCTTCCAAGGAACTAATGACAAGGACACAGCTCTCATCCCACTGCCACTTTCCAATTATAAAATTCACCGAGGAGGGAAGGAAGGGGCTGTTCCAGCCCTGCAATTACAAAGCACATCCTCACGATGTGCAGAATTCCTGCTTCCTTTGCTGTCAGCAGGACGAGAACACAGGATTATACCTGAGTTGGAGTTTGCAGTGAATTACTCCCACTCCTCTCCTGGGTTTTAAGGCACAGCGGAAGAGCGGGCAGAGAAATGTGTATTTGGAGGCTGCTAATGGAAAACACACCATGGGTCCATTAAAAGCAACATCGCCTAATGCTTCTCTTCAGCCCACTGCTGAAACACTCTGCTTCTGGTAAAGGTCCATGCTTCTAAAATCCAAGGGTGACACACAGGTACAGCATTTGAAGAAAACCCGACTAGGGATGTGAGTTGTGGACAATGCCAGGGTACACCCCTTCTTACCTGACATTCACTATGCCAACGATTTCCTTTGACAGGAAGCGAAGAATAAATGCATTTAAGACAAAGGTGATCAATCGAAACAACACCTACAGAAAAAGAAAAAAAATAGATAAGAATAAATTATATTGGGAAGGTTTACTTTGCTGAAAAGAACACAAGATGGCTGCTCTTCTTAATGTAACGACACACAGCAGCTTCGCCAGAGAGTTTCTCTTTAACTGCTTCTGAAATCTCATTCCTTGGGGTCTCTCGGCACTCTCATGCAATGGTCAAAGAGCCCAAGAAGGCATGTGGAAGTCTCCCTAATTTACTGATTAGAAGAGGGAGGCCCTGACAGATTCACTGAATTTCTTCAAGTTCAGTCAGGCAGAAAGCAGAAATGGAATTCTAGGGAGCAGAAAGGGAATTCTAGTTAGTGCTTCACACTGGCCCTCCCTCCAGCCTGTTGAGAAAGAGCACACACTTAGCAAGTGGGAGTCTGCAGAATATAGCAGATTTACCAGGAATCATGGAATCTAACTTCTCCTTCTTTGCCTAGTTATATCTAAGGATCCGACAATGACATTTAATCTCTTTGAACTTCGGTTTCTCAATTAGAAAACAGAAAAGGCTATGTTTATTTACTGAATATTTGCCACTTGCCAGAGAGGAACTGAAATACCTTTCAAACAACTGCAATAAGATACTATAAAATAGAGGGGAAAGGAAAACAGAGTCCAGCTATCACCTTTTGAAAAGGATATATCCTGAGACTTTCAAGCCTGTGAATTCAAGAAAACCACCTGAACAAAGAATTCTTCCCATGAGACAGAGAAAACAGGTTGCAATTAAGTGAGGCTGCCAAATGAGGATGATGGCTGGGGTGCAAGCCTCACTAAGTGACACGCCCTCTGCATCCTGGCAGCAACACAGATGTAACTCAAGGGCACTCCAGAGCAAATGACAGATCACTTCTGTGTCAAGCACTCTCAGAGTTACACGTGAACAGTTGCAATCTGGAAAATTCAATCAAACTATGCCAATGGACCACAGTGGTCTGAAAATCTCCGGGGGAAGGTATGACCAAAAAGGGAGATTGCAGTCTAACACTGTCCCTGAAGTGTCACAGAGCAGCAAGGTCTCCAAAGCTAAGGTATCACAGTGTTAACCTTTATGGAGTCAAAGGTGAACTTTTCAAAGTCTGATGAAAGCTTGGTAGCCTCTCCTTAGAAACGTGCGGGTACGTAGACACCAAATTCTGTATTCAATTTTAGAGATTTGAAGCCAATTCATGTAGCTCTTAATGGAAAAAGTACTCAGCTGAGAGTCTCAACTCACCATTTAGCTAAACCCATCATCTTCTAAATTCTGTAAGCCTCAGTTTTCATCCCTGTCAAGTGAGGCTACCTATCACAGAGAGTTGATGACAAGGATCAAAAAACATCGTGGAAGTGAAAGCATTTTTGAAAAATGCATACAAATGAAAGGCATTAATACACTATGGCTGGCTCAGAGTTACAGAGAATAAGCTCTTAAATTCTTTCAGAACACAATGTAATTGCAAAGCTACCTCAAGTGTCTGCATTGTAATTTGAGAAAGCACACAAGACTGAATTAAAACACTCCAAGAAACCTAAAGATTATAGCTATTTAAAAAAAAAACCACATGCACACATTTATGTTAACTTCAAAGTTATCACTAAGAAACTTAATGTCTTAGGCTATATCCGTATCTCCTAATTGGTTTGAATAAAGGTTTGAGCTAATGAAGCTATGAGGTTGCTCACACTCCCCAGTATTTGCTCCGTATAGTGGCCCTTATTAGCAACCCAGTCTTCATTTAACTTTGTAAATGACTTAACAGTTTAAAAAAAAAAAAAAAGCCCTTTCACATCTGTTAATTACCTGACCCCTAAAAGCAACCTGGTGAATGCATGGGAAGCAAGTAAACTCGGAGCAAAGGGATTTGCCCACATGGCAAGCAAATGACCCTGCATGACCTTATGGGTAAGGCCACCCGACTCCTAGTCTAGTGTGTTTTCTGCTATGACTTGTTTTCTTTTAATGAAGCTAATCTCAGTAGTAAGGTATCATCAAAGGTTGAACAATCAACACTGTGGCTAAAGCACTGAATTCAAACAGTTATTAATGTTGTGAAATAGAAAAAAAAACACAATTAAGTAACTTAGGGTTCACCTAATTTAGCGTTAGATGACTAGCTAATGTTTATTAAGTGCATATCTTGTGCAAGGAATTCTTCTACATGCCTTACATAGATTGGCTCATTTCACCCCTACAGTGACCATTTTCAAAATTCATATTACCATAATAAAACTAGCTAACATTTATTAAGTACTTATGCCAGGCACTTAGGCATTTCACCTAATCTCCCTAATGACATTATGAGGTTGCATTATTGTTCTCATTTAAGATGAGGAAACTGATGATTGTAGAAGTCAAGAGATTTTCCCCAAATGCAGGCATCTAGCAAGTGGCAAGGCCCAAACTTGAGCCCTAGTCTGCCTGGTGCTTTCTCCTAACCTCTGTGTGAAATGCTGCCTCTCTAAAACAAGGGGAAAGGTCGATTCAGGACTTTTGTGAGGAAAGGTTGAATGGGTCAAGAGCGGGACACAGAGAAACTGAGCCACATGACTTAGAATGACCAGGTTCTAAGGTTAAAAGAATCTTTACAATACCATTTGGATCAACTGGCATGCACCATATCTGACGTGAAAATTTGGGCCAAGAAGGGAAAGTGACTTGTCCAAGGTCACACTGCCTTAAGGAAGAGTGCATACTAAGAGCCAGAGCATACTACTGTTAAGTGCAATTATCCGAATAACCCCAACCTAGCTTCACAGCAACCTTATGAGCTAGGTACTCTTATTACCCCCATTTTCTGAGGAGGAGCTGAGGCTTAGCAGGTGAAGTCACTTGTCCTGGGTCATGCAACAAGGACATGGTAGAACCAAGATTCCAGTCCAGGCCTGCCTGAGCCCAGGTCCCTGTTCTTCGCCATGCCATATTGTCTCTCTGAACTCAGTGGGAGTCAGAGTTTGAAAAAAGTGTTTGAGGGTAAGGAGTGGGACATGGAAAAAATAAACCCTTGCCTTAAAAATACGTGAGATTCTAGAGCACCAGAGGCACCCCTGCCACCTGATCTAACCTTCCCCTACTGCCATATGGGATAAATAATGCTCAAAAGGAAAGTGGTTTGTTTGCAGTCTCCCAGCCAGGATTCTGGACGCAGGCTCCCAGCTCCGGGCCCAGGTGTCCCCTCTCGGCCGCCGCCGCCGCCGCCGCCACCGCCTCTCGCGGAAGCCCTCAGTAGTAGCGGGGTCCACGCCAGGGCTGGGTCTGCCCCGGGATGGGCTCTCAAGGGCCCCAGGGCCACCTCCCCGTGAGTCCCGGCTGGGGAACGGCCCGGCAGAGTACCTGCAGGAGGAGACCAGAGGAGGCCAGCCGAGCCGCCTGGCCCAGCACCTCCCGGGGGCTCATAGCCTCAGCGCCCGGGGACCGTCACCAGTAAACGCCTCAGACGGCCGGCTTTGTCGCAAGAAGATAGCGTCACGGAGCGGCTCGTTCGCTGATTGGCGATTTTGTAGGGCGGAGGCGGGACACGGGAAGATCTGGCCCTTTAAGTGGACCGGGTTCGGATGAGTCAGCGTGGTTGCGCCGCATCGCCTTTCCCGTTTGAGAGAACGCGTGGTTTGTGTGCCTATGCCTCCCTGTTCCAAATGAGTTAAATACTGTGACCATACTAAGAGGCTCTATTAAAGTAGCCAAAGCCCCTTCTCTGAGGCACCCAGGCCACCAACCAAGAAACACTCACTTCCCTGGCCTCATCTGTCTAAAGGAACAAACTATTCACTGACCTCCGTAATAAGATTTTTGCCATTTGGCCTTCGCTTACAAAATCACGGACACGGTCCCCAGAATTAGACTAGACAGGATTGTCCCAATTTTACAACGAAAGAACTGAGGACCAGAAGTTAAATACAGCATCTTCATATGCGTGGTTTTGTGTAATCCTTTCTCAAGCATTGAAAATTGGGACCTGTTGTCAGAGATGAATAAAGTGAGACGTGGAGACGTGAAGTGACTTGTTCATGTATAGATAACTTGTACCTGGGTGGAGTGGACCCCAGGCTCCTGATCCTAAACTTGCCTCCCTTGTCTGCATGCCACCAATTGTGAGGACAGAGCAGAAGAATGGTAGGAAAGAGCTTCATAAAATGTAAAGTGCCCGACACAGTCAGCTGTTGTTCTGTCCATGCTCCTATCATCTGCTATGCGGGCCATAGGAAGCCCCATCTGTCTCTTTTAGGCACTCGGTGATTTGACCCCAACCTACCTTTCAACCACCTTTCACACTCTCACTGCCCTTTCACAGCACATTCTAGGCCCTCGCCATTTGGATCCCTTACATTTCCTCAAACAGGCCCAAATTGGCCTTTGCTCTGCTGCCATCTCTGCCCAAAGTGCCTTCCTTTCCAAATGGCACTGCCTACCCTCCCAGGCCCCAGTGTTCTGACTTGTGAGTATAAAAGCACCTGCTATGGACTGAATGTTTGTGTCCTCCCCAAATTCATATGTTGAAGCCCTAATTTCCAATGTGGTGGTAATTGGAGGTGGGACCTTTGGGAGGTAATTAGGTCACGAGAGTGGAGCCCTCAAGAATGGGGTTAGTGACCTTACAAGAAGAGACGAGAGAGATGAACTCTCTCCCTGCCATGTGAGGATACAGTAAGAAGGCAGCTGGCTGCAAACCAGGAAGAAGGCTCTCAACAAGAACTGAATCGGCCACTTTATCTTGGACTTCCCAGCCTTCAGGACTGCAAGAAATAAATTCCTGTTGTTTAAGCCACCCAGCGTATGGTATTCTATTACAGCAGCCTAAGCAAATTAAGGCAGCACCTGTAGGGCTTCCCTGGTGGTGCAGTGGTTAGGAATCCACCTGCCAATGCAGGGGACACGGGTTCGATCCCTGGCCTGGGAGGATCTCACATGCCGTGGAGCAACTAAGCCACAACTACTGAGCCCGCCTGCCACAACTACTGAAGCCCATGTGCCTAGAACCTGTGCTCTGCAACAAGAGAAGCCATGACAGTGAGCGACCTGCGCACTGCAGTGAAGAGTAGCCCCTGCTCGCTGCAACTGGAGAAAGCCTGCACACAGCAACGAAGACCCAACAGAGCCAAAAATAAAAACAAATAAATAAATTTATTTTTAAAAAAAAGACAGCACCTGTAAAGCACTTTGTAACCCTTTATAGCTCTTAGCACAGTCTGCTTTGCAGTGAAGAGACTAGGCTATGTCTAAACATCCCATGAGTTCTGATAAGGCAGGAATGAAGTCCATTGGCTTTGCCTCCTGCAGCAGTGGCAGAGAAAGTCCCCAGGACACCCATGGATGCTTCCTGACTTGTTATTGCTGCTATTACTGCTGAAAACAGACTATGGGGTTCAAGGCCTATGCACGTCCCCCACTCCCATCTTGCCAGATTAATCAAGCTCTGTCTTATGGCAGGGGCTCAGAATGTAAGCTTTTGACTGTCAGACAGACCTGGCCCTGAATCCTCATTCTGCTACTCACTAACCAGGTGACCTCTATACGCTCAGCTATTAAATAGGGGATATTATCTGCCCTGTGATGGCAATCGTAAGGAATATAGTAGACAAAAGTCTGGCCCTTCAGGAGCTTAAATTCTAGTGGGAGGAAGATTGAAAAAAAAAAAAACCCTAGTAAATAAATAATAAAATTTTACATAGGGATAAGTGCTATGAAAGAATGAAATAAGATAAGGTAATAGAGACTTTTAGATGGGGAGGGAGGGGTGCTGTTCCAGAAGGCAGAGCAAATTAGGCAACCACTTGGAGAGGAGAGCAAAATGCTGGAGGGTCAAGGTATTCAGCCTGTGGGCCGAGATGCCCAAGGCCTTGACCTGGGCTGCCTGCCTGCCCCCATGGACCTTGGGCTGGCAGGTGAGGTGGGCTCTGGCTCCCTTTATCCCAGCCAAGCAGCTGCCTCCTCCACAGCTACTCCTTGGAGCGCAACCAACCAAGAGCTTTTTTTTTTTTTGTCCGCTCTGCATGACATGTGGGGTCTTAGTTTCCTGACCAGGGATCGAACCCATGCTCCCGCATTGGAATCACAGGGTCTTAACCACTGGACCACCAGGGAAGTCCCCAAGAGCTATTCACGTCAACATACTCTAACCCTAGGCATCCAGGTGGGCTGGTCTGGGAGTGACTAGGGAATCGTTTCACTGGGGGCAAAGAAGCCAAAGGGAAATGCTCCAAGCTAAGTCCAAAGTGCAAAGCCTCCCAGGAGTCCAGGGTACAGACCCTAAGGGGCTTCTGGGCAGGGAGTCAGGGGCCCTTTTCTCTCATTCTGGAGGGTAGGATTTAGCAAGGAGAGATTGAGCAGACACTTTGTGCCCAGAGCCGTGCTGGGTGCAGGGGTGTGTGGGAGAGAAGGAACTGTAATGAGAATCAGTGAGCACCGACCACTGACTCCATGTTAGGTGCTCGTGTGAGCACTGCACATGCATGTACTAACCTCTTCATCCTCTCAACAACTCATGAGGTAGGTATTACAGATGAGGACTCCAGGAGAGCTGCAGAGATTGAGCTGCAGTGGGCTTGAAGTTGTCCCCTGCCTCTGTGCTGAGCCTCTCCAAAGGCCTTGTCTCTGTTAGAGGTATTGACACCAACAGGGCCTGGCACACTCCTGTGTGCCACACTCCTGTGTGGAGGGCTAAGCACAGGGCTGGTGAGCTGTGACCCATTGGCTATTGCTTGTTTTAAACCATCTGCAAGCTAAGGATAATTTTTTTTTTTTTTGCTGTACTCGGGCCTCTCACTGCTGTGGCCTCTCCCGCTGCGGAGCACAGGCTCCGGACTTGCAGGTCCAGCGGCCATGGCCCACGGGCCCAGCTGCTCCGCGGCATGCGGGATCCCCCCAGACCGGGGCACGAACCCGCGCCCCCCGCATCGGCAGGCGGACCCTCAACCACTGCGCCACCAGGGAAACCCTAAGGATAATTTTTATAATTTTAAAAGGTTGGGAAAAAAATCAAAAGAAGTCTATTTCATGACACATGAAAATTACATGAAATTCAGATTTCAGGGTCCACAGTAAAGGTTTTTTTTAATTAGAAAATTGGAATCGCGGCTTCCCTGGTGATGCAGTGATTAAGAATCCACCTGCCAATACAGGGGACATGGGTTTGAACCCTGGTCCGGGAAGATCCCACATGTCGTGGAGCAACTGAGCCCGCGAGCCACAACTACTGAGCCCGCATGCCACAACTACGGAGGACCACGCGCCTAGAGCCCACGGTCCACAACAAGAGAAGCCACCGCACTGAGAAGCCCGTGCGCTGCAGTGGAGAGTAGCCCCCGCTCACCATAACTAGAGAAAGCCTGCACGCAGCAAAGACCCAACACAGCCAAAAATAAATAAATTAAATAAATAGATTTTATAAAAGATAATTGGAATCATATTGTACATTTCCACTGTATTTTCAAATTATTATTTTTTTAAATTGAAGTACAGTTGATGTACAATATTATGTAAGTTTCAGGTGTACAACATAGTGATTCACCATTTTTTTTTATTATTATTTTTTTTTGCGGTACGCGGGCCTCTCACTGCCGTGGCCTCTCCCGCCGCGGAGCACAGGCTCCGGACGCGCAGCCTCAGCGGCCATGGCTCACGGGCCCAGCCGCTCCGCGGCATGTGGGATCCTCCCGGACCAGGTCACAAACCCGCGTCCCCTGAATCAGCAGGCGGACCCACAACCACTGTGCCACCAGGGAAGCCCAGATTCACAATTTTTAAAAGTTATATTCCACTTACAATTATTAAAAAATATTGGCTATATTCCCTGTTTTCTAATATATCCTTGTAGCTTATTTATTTTATACATAGTAGTTTATACCTCTTAATCTCTACCCCTATCTTGCCCCTCCCCACAAATAAAGTTTTATTGGAACACAACCACATCCATCCATTTGTTTACTTGTTGTCTATAGCTACTGTCTTACTAGAACAGCAGGGTAGTTTAGCCTGGAAAACTGAAAATATTTACTGTCTGGCCTTTTAAAGAAAAAGTTTGCCAATCCTGGTGATCACCATTGAGCCCCGGTGCCTGACAAGCAGTGGACATTTCAATATTGAATGAATGAATGCATACATAAATGAAATTTTAAGTTCAGTTTAAAAAATTTTTTAAGGGTGGAAGAGTTTTATTAGCCCATGGCAAGATACAAAATGATTAATGATGATAATGATGATAAGAGAGTTCTTTCCTGGTGGTTGCCTGGTTTGGAGAGCAAGTGACCCCTGGGAGAACACTAGACTATCACTGGTGGTCACTGAAGGAGCTGCTTCTCTGGGCTTCACCCCCCTCTGCCCCCTGCTCTCCATGGCAGGTAGCCTCCCTGCCAGGGAAAGCTGACCTGAGCTGGCTATTTTATTACAAAGCTGGAGGGAGTGCCAGGGCTGTTGCCAAGACAGTTAGACTCCTGGGGCATCAGGG